GAATCAAATATTTCTGATAAGGGGCTAATATCCAAGATGTATAGGGAACTAACACAAATATCTAAGACCAAAAGCCATTTCCCAATGAGTAAGTGGTCATAAGATATGAACAAATAGTCCTCAAAAGTATTACAAAAAAAATTAACATTAACAAAATATTGACAGACACATGGCTGTTGAAGATTGTGTGAAATCAGGGGCAGCTAGGTGGCACAGTGGAAGGAGCACCAGCCCTAAAGTCAGGAGGACCCAAGTTCAAATCCAGCCTCAGACAAACACTTGACACTTACTAGCTGTGTGACCCTGGGCAAGTCACTTAACCCTAATTGCAAAAAAAAAAAAGATTGTTTGAAATCACTAATAACAAGATAAAAGTAAATCAAAACCACCTTGAGGTTTCACCTGACACCTAGGAAATTAGCAAAGATGGCAAAAGATGGACTGATCAGTGCTGTAGGAGTTATGAGATGGCAAGCACCCTAAAATTATAATCAGTGGAGCTGTGAATTTGTCCAGCCATCCTTGAAATCAATATGGAATTATGCTGAGAGTGACTAGTGTCCACAGCCTTTGATCCAGAGATCTCACTACTAGGCAGCTTCCCTGAGATCAGAGAGAATGAAAGGTCCCATATCCACCAACATAGTCCTAGCAGCACTTTTTGAGGTAGCAAAAAAACTGGAAACAAAATAGCTGGCCCTGGACTGGAGAATGGTTAAACAAATTGTGATAACTTTAATGTAATGGATTATTATGGTGCCATAAGAAATGATGGATATGAAAAATTTATAAAGACGTAGAAATACATATGAATGGAAAAAAGAAAGCAGAACCAGAAAAATAGTATATACAGGCACTATGACAATTCAAATCCCTCAACTGACAAAAACCTGAAACCAAATGCTATGTAATTATGACTACAAGTTTAGCCTTCAAGAAGAGATGAGGAAATGCACCTTCCTCCTTTGAAGGAGAGAGACTCCAGGGGCAGAACACTGCATACGCTGTCAGACTTAGATAATGTATTGGTGAGTTTTATTAGAGTATGCTCCCCCTTTATTTGGTATTGTTTCTTATAAGGGAGAGCACGATGGGGAGGAGGAAGCAAGAGATGTGTGTGGAGATGAAGATGTAAAAACAAAAGACAGCTATACAAATTAAAAACTGGGGGAAAATATCATTGGATTGAAAACAGTGGAGAAATTTAACCTGATGAATTGTAGAGTTTGGGCAGAGGCCTGATTCCTCTCTTCAAATAGCTGAAGGGCTGTTGTCTTGAAGAGGAATTAGATTTGTTCTGTTTGGTTCTGGAAGGCAGAACCAGAACCAATGGGTGGAAGTTATAGTGATTCAGATTTTGAATCAATATAATAAAAAAAATTACTAAAAGCTTCTGCCTAAAAATGGAATGGGCTGACCAGGGAAGAAGGGAGATACATGAGTTTCATGGTCTTTCCAGGGAGAGGCTGGTGGATGCCCAACCTGCTTCGGGTGGAGGCTGCACTAGCTTAGAGCTTAGGGTCTGTACAACTCAAAAATAATATCATTTTGTGAAATGTGTCTGGATAATAGTTGTTGTATAAAAAAACTGAGGGTTTTAGGGGACTTCAAGTCCAGTAGAATTCAAAACTGAAGCGTAGTTATCAAAGAAAAATGTGAAAGGCATCCTAGGTTGCATGAATGCACCTATTGTCTAGGGCCAGAGAAAGAGTCATCCAGTGCTCTGCACTAATCAGACCCCACTCTAGAGAACTGTGTTACATCTCTGAGTCACATGTAAGGAAGGGCTAGACTTTTAGCATGTCTAAAGAAAGGTGACAATTGTGGGCAGCAGGACAATGCTGTTGGAGACAAGCATCCTGGAGAAGTAAATTTTGGGGAATATAATCTGATAATCTGCAGATACTTGAGGAGCCGTCATGTGAAGGAAGGCTCAGACAGATGGGGATTTCTAAAGCCGAGTCCAGCTCTCCATTCCAAGTGATCAGGAGTAGGTTTTCAGCTCCTTTAAGGAAGCGCTTCTATATCGGGAGGGACAATCTAGTTAAATTCTTGATCAAATATATGAAAATTATTTAAAGACTAGTTGTGTGTGGAATGAGAAAAATAACCACTGGTATTAGATTCTGCATCCAGGGGATGCCTTTTTTTCACCTGCTCCAAGACACAGTTGTGTGTCCAAGAGGGTTTGGAGCCATGGTTACAAGAGGGAGAGGTCTCTGTGGCCCTGAGGTCATGAGAAGGAAAGAGAACTAGAGACGGTGGTACCCCTTGTAGCTCTGTCGTTCTGGGATTTTCCCATCTGCATACCTAGTACTTCTTCATCTGATCCTTTCCCAGTGTCTTTGCTTATGCTTGTAGGAAACATATTTCCTGAAGAAAGGGGGGGAAAAGAAGTTAAAAGAGGGCAGGCGGTGAGAATATAAGAAGGGAGGCTACAGTGCCCCTTCTGGCTCTGGGATTCTAGGACATCCACCTCTCCACCTAGTCTTCTGGGTTCCTCTTAGATTTCTTCCACCTCTTTCGACATTTCAATTCAGTACACATTTTTGAATCACAAACTAAGGCAGGGTGCTGGAAAGGCTGAGTGGTAGCTACAATTTTTTAATAGACTGGCAAAGAATGCATACTACCCACATTTTCTATAAAGTTCTCAGATGGGCACCAAATCTGGATATAGGGTTAGACCACCCAGTTTCCAAATGAAGGCAGTGATAGCCTTCCTGTCATGTCTGATCAGATGACATCTGAAGTATGTAATTCAGTTTTGGGCATCATCTTTTAGGAGGGACACTGACAAGTTGGAGGGTACCCCCAAGAGGGCAACCAGGATGGTGAGAGGTCTGGAAACCAATGCTGTTGACCCTCCTCCAAATCCTCTGTAAATCTATAAAGAACACTGTGAACACATTCTGCACCATTATGTGTCACAGACTCTAGTTAAAGAGAGCCAGAGAAAGGAAGTGCCTTCCCTACAGTCAGCTCTTGCTCCTGGTCTATTTAGCTCATGTGTAATTCCTGTTCCTCTTATTACCATCTCAACTCACCTTGCCTCTCAGCTTTTCCTGAAGGATAGAGGGAAAAAAAACCCATGCTTTCTGCATTTAGTCTCTGGGAGCTGCTTTTCAAAAGGGAGATCAGTTTTGAATCAAGGAAGTCTGGCTTGGTTCACAACAGAAAGCCTTCTTCCTATTCCTATGGCCCATCATTGCACTATTTTCAAAGACCTAACTTATCTAGAGCTGGCAGAGGGAGTAATCAGTATCTCTTCCTCTACCCCAACCCCTTCTGAATAGCTAGAAGGTAATAAGGTATTATTTTATATAGTGGTGGGGGATGAGAGGGAGTTGGTCCAGATACCCCTGACCAATTGATTCTCCCCCTCATCCACAGCCCAGTTAATGAGACAGTGAGATATTAATGTCCTAAATAAAGTGCAAATAAGGGTTTTCATTTTTGCTACACTTTTATGAAGTATTTTAAAAAGTTCTTCCTTGATGGAATTAGAAGGGCAGCTTGCTATTGGATGGCCAAAGATCAGATACAACCTTAGAAGCCTGTTAAAAAAAAAACAAAACCCAAAGAACAGGGGCAGCTAGGTGATGCTGTGGATAGAGCACCAGCCCTGGATTCAGGAAGACCTGAGTTCAAATCTGGCCTCAGACACATAACACTTACTAGCTGTGTGACCTTGGGCAAGTCACTTAATCCCACTGCCTATCCTAACAAAAAAAAAAAAGGCACAGGACATACTCCCTGGAGAGAATGCCACCGCAGGAAACAGCTCCAGTGAGTGTGACTTCTGTTAGTACCAAGGACAGCAAGCTAAGGAAGAAGAGTCCAGGTCTTGAAAGGGGATTCCTTTGGCCTTTTCCCTTGTGCCTCTCCCAGAGGGCAGTGGAGAGGAGAGGCTTCTTCTCTCTTCTTTTCTCCCTGACAATGCTCAGTGGGAAGAGAGACAATATCCAACAGGAAGCAGGGAGCAAAGACAGAGAATCAGTGGACGGTGGCATGACACCTGGCAGCCATCTAAGGAAGAAGAATAGAGCTAGCCCTGGCAGCTGGAAGCTGCAGAGAGGGGCAGACCCAGAGAGCCTAGCTGAGAAAGCTGCCCAGCAGATTCTCCACTCAGGAGGAAGCTATGTGAAGACAACATGAAATGAGAAAGGAGATCGGGCCCCAGGATGCTGGGTGTATAAGCTGTCCTGGCCACATGTGGGCCTCATTACTACTGGACTCCATGAATGTACCTGTTCTTATCACAGACAATGTGTGTATTTGTAGGGAGCGTGTCCCAGAGGGGAATGTAGCTACGTAGCTATGACATCCAAGCATTTCACTTCACTCTGAGGGAAGTGTATCTATTCACTGACTTGAAGGTAAACATACTTGTTGGGACTTGTGAGAGCTTTAGGAATTCATACCCCTGAACTGTGGGCAATGTGTAACCCTTTGGGGACCAACTTATCAGTGCAGAGTTCAAGTTAGAGGGGTAGCCTGGGGATGAGGTGGGGCCTCATTAATTACATATAATTAAAATATTGGGACTTCTTAATATCACGTCACAAAATCGAAAGATCACCAAACCTAAAAAAGCGAAAACTTGGGAGAACCCCATCTGACAGACTTCCACGCAGAAAATGAACTCTGCTTGCCACTCTTGGGAAGTACCAACACCAATGGCTGGAAGTTATAGGAAGATGGTCTTCAGCTCAGATAAGAAGAAACTTCCCTAGAAGAGGTAAGGACTTTGCTTTCTTGAATGAATTTTTAAAAATTAGTTCATGAATATTTGTTGAATAAATGAAAAGGAATTTCTGATACTGGTTTAAGGGGAGGAAGAGGTTATGGGTCTCAGAGGAGCTCTGAGTCTCCATCCAAGAGAGTTTCTGGGCCAGGATGCCCAAGACCCACCAGATGCCCCCAGGAGAAGGGGGCCATGGAGGAGGTCTCAGAGTTCCTTCTAGACCTGGGGTTCTAGGTCTTCCCCATCAGGTTACCTTGCCTGTCTTCACCATTTGATCCCATAACACTCTCTGTGCTCAGGCTCCTGGTCATTTTCACTTTTTCTGAAAAGGAGAAGAAATTGAAACTGGTAAGTAAGGCAAGTGGTCAGGCCTGAGTAGAGGAAACAAGGTTAAGATTCTAAGATTTTTCCTCTGCCCTCCTGGTAAACTTTCTGCCATTTTCTTCTTGGGACACTGGCCGGTCAAATTTTCTCAGGGTCATTCCTTCTAGACTTCTCAGGAATGTGCCAACCTCACTTTATTTGCTGCAGAGGAAGAGGAGGTAAAACATCTTAAATAACATAGGCCTGGGCTTGAATACCTACCCTGGGCACATAAGCTGATGGCGCCCCACAACTCTGCCCTAGTACCTTTTTTGATCAATATATGGTATCCCCCCAAAATCTCATTATCATTTTAAATCTATTAACATTCTTAAAACTTAAAATGGCATTGAGCCTTTGGGGACATCGTCTATGTAGCCATAGCCTCATACTTAATATGTAATTGTTAACTGGCTGATGTTACAAAATACATAGGCAGTTTGGCACAATGGAATGAACACTGGACTGAGAGTCGGAAGGCCTGGTTATTTCCTCTTCTGAGCCTCAGTCTCCTCATGTAAATGGGGGTCCTAATACTTATACCCCTTCTTCTCAGAGCTGTTGTAGAAAAGCGTTTTGTGAGACCTAGAGGGCTGTAGTAATAAGGACCATTATACTAATATTATTCACTGGAGATAGGTAAGGGGTGGGGCTGGTTAGACATGCTTCCCTCTGAAAGGCCTGAAAGGCCTCTCCAAAGCCCCATTCCCTGTCCCATTAAGCCCCCAATTCAGGGGGAGGCAGATGCCTGGGTGCTGGGGCACACTGAACAATCAAATAGGGGGGAGGAGGTCTTACAAGTAATAAACTAGACCCTGGGCACTGGAGGGAAAATCCTACCCCACTCTACCTAGCCCACCAGGGCTCTCAAATCCAGATATCAGGATGTTTGCTTCTAAGCAGAGATGTTCTGGGGATAATGGAGACACAAATTAAGAAGAGAAAGGGATCTCAGAGGTCACCCAGTCCAACCCCCTTGTTCTACAGATGAGGAAACTGAGGCCCAGAGAGGTTAAATGATTGCCCAAAACCACACAGGTAGCAAGGGATAGAGAAAAGGTCCTAACATCTCTTCCAGCCCCATCACCTACTCACCTCGTTTCATTTCTAAGACAGAATCCCAATATTCTCCTGTAGTTTTGTCAGAAGGACTTGATGATACTGAAGAGAAAGGAAAGAGTACATAAAAACCAACAATGGAGCAAACAAACATGTTCCTACAGAGGAAGGAATCAGCCCCTGGCATATTCCAGTTCCTTAGGGGGACACACATTCTGTACTGGGCCTCATACATTTTCTTTCTTTCTTTAAATAATTTTTAAAAAAATTTAAAAAAACAATAAAATTATTTTCCCCCAATTATATGTAAAGACAATTTTTAATATTCTTTTTCTTAAACTTTGAGTTCCAAATTTTCTCCCTCCTTCACCTACCCCCTTCAAGACAGTAAGCAATTTGACATAGGTTGAACGTGCACAATCATGCAAAACATATTTCCATATTAGTCATGTTGTGAAAGAAGACACAGACCCAAAGGAAAAAAAAACACAAAAAATAAAGTGAAAAATAGTACGCTTCAGTTTGCATTCAGATGCCATCAGTTCTTTTCCTGGAGGTGGATGGTATTTTTCATCACCTCATACATTTTCAATACCTGTCCCATATGTTATCTAATTTGGTCTGCCCCGAAAGAATGGCAAACCTGTCCTCATTTTACAGACAAGAAAACTGAGACAGGGTAAATGATAGAACAAACACAGCAATGGTCCCTGACCTAGCCCTGCTCAATATTTTTCTTGTCTCCTTACCTGGAATTTCTTCCTGATTTTCATTATTTTTATTTTGTTTTTGGACCTCTTCAATATTCTCTTTGACACCTGTAACCCCAGACATTGGAAATACTGGGGAAAGAGAAGAAAAGTCGTCAAAGGATGAAACCAAATAAATAGGTGACCTGAAGGAGGCTGAAAGAACTGTCCCCAGACACATCAGAGCTCTTGAAAATCCACCCCTAGCTCCCCATGCCTGTGCTTCTTGGGCTGAACATGTTCCATCCCTCCTCAAGTCACAGGAACATGGATCTGGAACTGAAGGAACCCGAAAGACCATCTAATTTAGCCCCTCAGTGACCTGTCTGTCCAAGGTTAAGCTTGGGATTTGAACCCAGGTCTCTGAATTCTAAATCCAGCAATCAGTCAGTTAATCAACGTACCTATTGACTCTCCCACAAATACCCTAACTACTAATTGCTCAGTTTACTCACCTCCCATGAGCTACTCCTCCAACCCACCTCTGCCACACACAAAAATGGTTATACTCTTGATCTTAACCTTCATCCACAAATGTACCACCTCCATGCTCAAGAATTCCAAAATGCCCTTATGTGACCATAATCTATTGATTTTCCACCTCTCCCTCTCTTCCCTTACCAGACCCTACTCTTTGTCTACACTGTGACCCCCCAATCATTTCTCTCCCAGGCCATCTCCCTTGCACTAGCCACTCTCTTTTCTCCTCCCCAAAGTTTGACCCTACACTGCCCCTCCTCTCTGGAGTTTCTAGCTGCCTTATCATTTTGCTGATTGCTCCCAACCAAGCCTCAGCGTTAGATAACTCTCTGTATCATTCCTACCTACGTACTGCTGAACAAAGATGGAGAAAATCACACAACTGTTCTGACTGGGTCCGCAACAAATTTATATGGCCTCAACTGGGCCCTCACTGCTGCTAGGCAACCCTACTATACTTCCTTTATCAACTCATTCTCCCACTCTCCACACCAGTTCTTCCAAACCTTTCCTCACACCTCCCATGGCTCCTCCTTGCTCCAATCTATTAGATGAGAACTTTGTATCATATTTTATAGAAAGAATTGAGGCCTTTCACTGGGAGCTCCCTCTTCTCCCCTCTTCTTTATCTCCTATCCTTCTGTCATTCTTTCCTCCTTCACTCCTATCTCCCATGTAGAGGTGGACTTACTCCTTACCAAGGCTAACCCTTCCACCTGCTCAAGTGACCCCATCCCATCTCGTTTCTTCCAACAGATTGCCCCTTCTGTCATCCCTTTCAATCTCTCCTTGTCTAATGTATCCTTCCCTGACCCATGTCTTCCCCATCTTCAAAAAAAACCTTACTCGATCTTTCCAATCCCATTAACTGTAGTCCTATATTCTTCAGCCATTTGTGTCTAAATTACTTAAAAAGGTCATCTACATTCATTTTCTCCTCTCTCTTTTCTTCACCCTTACAATCCAGCTTCCAACTTCATCTTTCCACCAAAAATTCTCTCTCCAAAGTTACCAACGATCCATTAATTGCCAAATCCAGCGGCCTTTTCTCAGTCTTCATTCTCCTCCACACCTCTGCAGCCTTTGGGACTGTTGATCATCCTCTTATCCTTGATACTCCATTCTCTCTAGGTTTTTGGGATACTGCCCTTTCCTGCTTTTCCTTTTACTTATCTGACCACTTCTTCTCTGTCTCCTTTGTGATCTAGCGATCTTCTTCACATAACTCCCCCTAACCATAGGTGTCCTACAGAGTTCTATCTTGGGCCTCTTCTCTTCTCCCTCTATACTACTTCACTCCATGATCTCATTAACTCCCATGGATTTAATTATCATTTCTCTACTGAAGATTCTTAAATCTCCTTATTTTGTTCTAAATCTCTTTGCTGATCTCCAATCTCACATCAACAACATTTCAGACACCTGATAAAACAGCCTCACCCCTTACCTCTACTTGTTCAAGCGATGCCATTCCATCCTGTCTCCTCCAGCAGGTTGCTCCCATGTCACCCCCATTCTTTCACTTATTTTCAGTCTCTCCCTGTCTACTGGATCCTTCCCTACTGCCTACAAACATGCCCATGTCTCCCCCGTCCTGAAAAAAAAAACTCTCACTTGATCCTTCCATCTCTGCTAATTATCATCCTCGATCTCTTCTGCTCTTTGTAGTTAAACTCCTCAAAAAGGTTGTCTATAATAGGTGCCTCCCCTTTCTCTCCTCTCACTCTCTTCTTATCCCCTCCCTTACAATCAACTTCTGACCTTATACTTCCACTGAAACTGCTCTTCCCAAAGTTACTAATGATTTCTTGGTTGATAGATCCCCCCTGCCTACCATGTAGTACCTCCTTAGCTCCAAGTCTTACAATCTCTGACTTTCTTCAAGAACAGCACATGCTCCCCCTTCTACAGAAAGCCTTTCCTGTTCCTTATATATCTTGGTGTTCTGTCCTCCCTTAATGTTTTCACACATTCCTTCCTTTGTTAATATGTTGCAACCCCCCAGTAAAATTGAAACTCTCTCAAGGCCAGGGACTCTTTAATTGGAAGCCTAGTCTCTGCTTTCCATGAGCTGGATCACAGGATTTAAAGCGAGAAGGAACCCTGGGGATCCTCAAGTCCAGACTCCACCATCTACGGGAGAGGCACTGTCGGGTAGCAGACAGACCTGGGTTCAAATGCCATATTTTACACTTCCCCTTTGAGCTTCCAACTCCTCATCTGTAAAATGGGGACAAGGATACCAATAGTCCCTGGGTTGTCAGGAGATCCAAATGACACTATGTAAAGTGCTATGGGCTACAGAAATGTCATTTATTCTTATGACAAAGGAAGAAAGTGATGCCCAGAGAGAAGTGATTTGTCCGTGCTCATGCACCATAAGGGGGAGAGCTGAGAGCTAACTAGTTCCTTTTGATTGTGTATGAGAGTTGTGAAGGGGAAACATGAAGCAGCCAGAAAAATAAGAGAAGGCACTATGTAAAAATTATTAGCCTTCTCAAAAGAAGTGTAAATGGAACCCTGATTGGCTAGTTGTTACACAGCATAGCTTGGCAGGTCTCCACTGTGGAGAGAATATGATGATGATAATAGCTAGCATTTATACGGTGCTTTAAGGTTGGAAAGCATATATATGATTTCTAGATAGCATTGTGTGCATATTATATATATATATGTGTGTGTGTGTGTGTGTGTATGTATTATGTACTGCATAGTACATATGTGCATACATAATATCCGCACTTGTAATATTACACATTTTAGGTGTTTATATATTAATATATATTACATATTATAATCTATATATCATAATTTTATATTATATTGTTATTACTTTTAATATTGTTATATGTATATTGTGTATAATATATGTAATAAAACACAGTATAGTATATTATTATAATGTTAAATACTCATTACATAATTTTATATTATATATTTATACTGTTATAATATATAATAATTATAACTTATAATTTGTATATTATAATATGTCATGTAATTATAATGATATATTGTATATTATATATGTTATATAATATGTTAATATGACATATTATGTGTTTCAATGATATTATATATTTCAGTTTTCAGTCATGTCTAAATCTTCATGACCCCATTTGGGGTTTTCTTATTAATTTATTTGAGTTTTCAACATTTACTTCCACAAGATGTTGAGTTCCAAATTTCTCCCCATCTCCCCCCTCCCCTCCAAGACAGCATGCATTCTGAATACCTCTTCCCCTAATCTGCCCTCCCTTCTATCAATCTCCCTTTTTCTTATCCCTTTCCCCTTCTATTTTCCTGTAGGGCAGGGCAGATTTCTATACCCCATTTCCTGTATATCTTATTTCTCAGTTGCACATGAAAGCAATTTTTAACATTTGTTTTTAAAACTTTAGGTTCCAAATTTTCTCCCTTCCTCCTTCCCCACCCATCCTCATTGAGAAAGCAAGCAGCTCAATACTGTTATACATGTGTTGTCACGCAAAACACTTCCATAGTAATCATGGTGTGATAAACTAACTATATTTCCTTTCATCCTATCCCACTCCCCGTTTGTTTTATTCTCTCTTTTAATCCTGTCCCTCCTCATTAAGTATTTGCTTCTGATTATCCCCTCCCATTTATTCTATTCTCTCTTTTAACCCTGTCTCTCCTCAGAAGTGTTTGCTTCTGATTACCCCCTCCCCCAATCTGCCTTCCCTTCTATCATCCCCCCTCTTAACCCCTTCCCTCCTATTTCCTTGTAAGGTAAGATAGATTTCCATACCCAATTGAGTGTGTATGTTATTCCCTCCTTAAGCCAAATCTGATGAGAATAACATTCACTCATCCCCTCTCATCTTCCCCCACTTCTCCTTCTGTAAAAGCTTTTTCTTGTCTGTTTTATGTAATTTATCCCATTCTACCTTTCCCCTTTCCTCTTCTCCCAGTATAATCCTCTCTCACCCCTTAATTTTTTTTAGACATCACCCCATCATCTTCAACTCATCCTGAACTATCTATCTATCTATCTATCTATCTATCTATCTATCTATCTATCTATCTGTCTGTCTGTCTGTCTATCTATCTATCTATCTATCTATCTATAATTTTTCCCTCCAACTACCCTAATACTAACAAAAGTCACATGAGCGAAAAATGTCCTTTCCATTTTGGAATGTAAACAGTTCGACTTTAACAAGTCCCTTATGATTTCTCTTTTCTGTATACCTTTTCATGCTTCTCTTGAGTCTTGTATTTGAAAGTCAAATTTTCCGTTCAGCTCTGGTCTTTTCATCAAGAATGCTTGGAAGTCCTCTATTTCACTGAATATCCATTTTTCTCCTGAAGGATTATATTCAGTTTTTCTGGGTAGGTAATTCTTGGCTGTAATACTATCTCCTTCGACCTCCAAATATTATATCTCCAGCCCTCCAATCCCTTAATGAAGAAACTGCTAAATCTTGTGTTATCCTGATTGTGCTTTCACAATACTTGAATTGTTTCCTTCTGGCTGCTTGAATTATTTTCTCCTTGACCTGGGAACTCTGGAATTTGGCTATAATATTCCTAAGAGTTTTCCTTTAGGCATCTCTTTCAGGAGGTGATCGGTGTATTCTTTTGATTTCTATATTACCCTCTAGTTCTAGAATATCTAGAATATTTCTTCATTTCTCATAAAGTCATTAGCTTCCATTTGCTCCATTCTAATTTTTAAGGAAGTGTTTTCTTCAGTGAGCTTTTGGACTTCCTTTTCCATTTGGCCAATTATGCTTTTTAAGGCATTCTTCTCCTCACTGGCTTTTTGAACCTCTTTTGTCATTTGAGTTAGTCTATTTTTTAAGGTGTTATTTTCTTCAATATTTTTGGGGGTTTCCTTTAGCAAGCTGTTGACTTCTTTTCATGTCTTGCATCACTCTCGTTTCTCTTCCCAGTTTTTCCTCTACTTCTCTTACTTGCTTCTCAAAATTCTTTTTGAGCTCTTCCATGGCCTGGGACCAATTCATATTTTTCTTGGAGGCTTTGGATGTAGGATGTTGTCTTCTTCTGGTTGCATGTTTTGATCTTCTTTGTCACCAAAGAAAGATTCTATGGTCAACTTTTTTGAGCAGTTTGCTCACATTCTCAGCCAATTACTTGAATTTTAAACTCTTTGTTAAGGTAGGGGTCTGCTTTCAGTGTGGAGAATACACTGTCCCAAGCTTCAGGAGTTTTGTGTAGCTGTTTTCAGAGATACTTCTAGGGACCTGTAAATTTTCAGTTCTTCCAAGGTGGTACCATAAAGGACGAGGTGTTTACTCCTTTCTGGGCTGTGCTCTGCTCTATGAGTGACCACAAGCACTCTTTTCTGTCTTGCAACTGTGAGGAAGATTCCCTCTTCACCACTGCCACAAGTTCTGCCACTCCAGCGCTCCTCATAACCCCATGAATGCCACCCAGGAATGTGACCTAGATCCTAGCACAGGCAAAGCAAGAGAATCCTGCCTCAGTGCCAGCAAAGAGATCCCTGCAGTCCCCCTCTGATCAGCCACTTGATTCTCACCTCAGTCTGTGGTCCAAGAGCTCTGGAAGCAGCCACTGCCCTGTGGTTGCACCAGGACTGGGGCGGGACTGAGCTCCTCTCTCACCCAGGTCAGACAAACTTTTCCTACTGACCATTTAAGATGTCTTTGGTGTTTGTGGGTTGAGAAGTCTGGAAACCACCACAGCTCCCCTTGATTCAATCCCCTGAGGCCTGTTCAGGTTCGCTGAGGCCTGGTTTTTGCCTGCATGGTCCATGCTAAACTGTGCTCCTCTCCCAGCCTGGTGCAATAGATCTTTCCAATCAACCATCCAGGTTGTCTTGGACTGGAAATTTGTTTCACTCTGTCTTTTTGTGGGTTCTGCTACTCTAGAATTTGTTTAGAGCCATTTTTACAGGTATTTGAAGGGATTTGGGGGACAGCTCAAGCAAGTCACTGCTTTTACTCTGCCATCTTGGCTCCACATCCCCCCATTTGAGGTTTTTTTGACAAAGATACTAGAGTGGTTTGCAATTTCTTTCTCCAGATCATTTTACAGATGAGGAAACTGAGGCAAACAGGGTTAAGTGACTTGCCCAGGGTCACACAGCTAGTAAGTGTGTGAGGCCAGATTTGAATTCAGGAAGGTGAGTCTTTCTGACTCTAGGCCTGGCACTCTATCCACTGTACCACCTAGCTGCCCTTAATATTATATTATATGTATATATAATATTATATATATGTATATATTTTTAAAAACCTCATTTGATCCTCATAATAGCCCTATGAGGGAGCTCATATTACCCTCAGTGTACAGATGAGGAAATTGAGGCTGAGAGAGACTAAATAAGTTGCCCAGGGACACACAGACAAGTAAGGGATTTGAACTCCAGTTTTCCAAGTCTAGCACTCTGTCCACCACTTTACACATAGCTCTCTCCAAAGATCACAGTGTTTAAGTAGAAGAAAAGTGTGGGGCATGATGCTACAGGTGGTGAAGGAAAAGGGAAAGAAAATGATAAGTTTACAGAGACTGATCACAGGACAGTCTGCACCTGGTTGCATTGAGGCAACCAGGGATATGCTGTGGCCTGTGTGTGTGTGTGTGTGTGTGTGTGTGTGTGTGTGTGTGTGTGTGTGCATGAGAGGAGAGAGGGGCGTGAGACATAGGAGGTTCTTGGGGACTGCTCTTGAGTATGTCAGGGAATCTCAGAGAGACTCAAGACCATTTGACCAGGGCTGCCCTGCTGACTCACCTCACGAATTTCCCACCTCTACCTACCTGGACTTGACTTTTTTGCAGTCAGTTCACACCATCCTTTCTGTCTCCACCTGGAATAAAGCAGACCAGTCACAGAACAAAGCAATTTACCTGTGGAAGCAAGGTCACCAAGAATATCACTGCATTTCAGAATTGGGAGGGATTTTAGAGGCCATCAAATCCCAAACACAAACACATCCCAGAAGTGGTTTCCTGCTTCTGTCTGAAGACCTCCAAAGAGGGGGAAGCCCCCCAGTTCTTAAGGAAGCCTAGTCCACTTTGGGGCAGCTCTCTGTTAGAAAGCTTCTGCTGACATCAGACCTAAGTCTGTCATTCTTCTCTTTGGGGACAAATGGGAAAAAAAGCCTAATCCCTCAAATATTTGAAAACAGGTCCCACCTCTTAATTGTAAATTAATGAGATTATCATAGCAAAGCACTTTATGCCTTGCTATGTAAATGCTAGCAATTCTAAGTTGTAAATAACCTAAATGAGACAAAACAAGGGGCATGAAAGGGAGCAGGGCATGGGAGGAAATGCTAGATTTGGCATTGGACTTAGGTTCAAATTCCAGCTCTGATACTTATCACCAAAGAGGTAAATTTGGACCCTACGTAGACCCTCCTCTATAAAATGGATCATCTCTAAAGTTTTTCAGCACTATGAGCCTAAAGGGGAGGAGGCAACTACAGGAGGTTAGACACATGAAGGCTCATGGAGAGGGACATCTGGCTGTACAGCCAAATCTGCCAACCTGGACAAGGCAGAGCCACCCACTCTGAGTCCCTCCACAAGGAGTCCTTGCCATGGAGGCTTTAAGCTGGGGAGGTAGTCTTCTGTAAAAGGTTTGCATCCAATAATACAGGAGAGGAGGAGTCCATTGCCTAACCCAACCATGAAGGCAACCCAATGTTGTGGAAGGAGAGAGAACTGAGGTCTAGTTCTAACTCTATAATAAACCCATTGCATGATCTTGGGTAAGTTATTTCTCCTCTCCAGCTTCCTCATCAATAAAAAGAACAGGTAAGGTTGGATAATCTCTAAAGCCTCTTAGTAGAGCAACTATTGGAAAAGAGATTCCATGGAAGTAAAGGTCTCTGGATGGGATGGTGCTGACAATATGGCTGGATTGGAGAAAGTTTGCTGGACATCTGAAGGCGATTTCAATGGTCTTTTCTGGTCTTGACTGTCACGGAGTTATGGTCATGTTGAGGCTTTCTTTGGCTCTTTTCTCTCCCTCATCTTTCATATCTAGTCAATTACCAGGTCCTGTTGATTCAATTTCTGCAACGCCATTCACATCTGTCTCTTCCTCCCTAGTCTTACTGTCACCAGGCCAGTGTAGGCCCTATTGTGGTAACCTCCCCAAGGTCTACCTGCCTCCATTCCCTTCACTTCAAACTCCATTCACTTCCACTTTAAACCATACTACTGCCAAAATAATCTTTCTTATCCACAAATTTGCTTGTGTCTGTACTCTGCTCAAACCCCTTTAATGCTCATTATTATCTTCTGAATAGGGTTCAAATTCCTTTGCCTGGCTTTCAAGGTCCTCAACATCCTACCCTTCTAGACATCTCATATTGCTCCTTTCCAAACATACTACATGTTCTGAGTCTAACTGCACTATTCCACCCTGCTACCCTCTGAACTACTACACATTTATCCATCTCTGTGCCTTTGCTCATGCTCATCTTAATTCAAGAAATATTTGTTAACTCTTATGCGCAAGGCACTGAGTGCTGGAGAGACAAACACAAAGGCAAAAATGAGCCAGACCCTGCCTCCAAGAAGTTGATGAGGCTGGGTTGGTTGGGAGGAATAAAAATGTGTTACGAATGAATGAATAAGAAAGTATTTATTAGATATTCACTCATTATGTGCAAAGCACTGTACTAAGTCTGGAATACATATAGAAAAGACAACCCCTGCCCTCAAGAAGCTCACAGTCTAATAGGGTATATATCACCTTTAGGTTTCAGCTAGGGTAAAGCATCAAAGAAGTCAGCCAGTCACTCAGTAAGTATTTGCTTGCCAGGAACTGAACTAAATTTTGGGGATATAAAGAAAAATGGGAAAATGCTTCTCACTCTCAAATAACTTATATTAATAGGGGAGATCACATGTAGATAGCTAGGCACACACAAGATCTATAAAGCGTAAAGGGAAAACATTCCCAGAGAGAAGAAACCAGGAGGGGCTCAGGGGTGAGTGTGAGGGAAGGAAGGACTTGTAAAGAAGGTGGAAATAATCATGTATCTTCTGTGGCATCATTTCGATTAATAAAGCAAGATCAGTCTCTAAAGTTAGACTATGCCAATATCTTTGGCATCCAGAATGATATTTTCTGGGTCTTCACTATCTATGGCTACTGAGAAAGTTGGAGGTGTAGCACCTACAGGAACAGTCACCAGGCTTCATCTCTTTAAGGGTTGCCTTCCTGGATGACAGTGCTTTGGGGAAATCTAGACACAGGGCATGTGGGGAGGGGGAAGTTGAAGTTCCCAGAGTTCTTGAGCTTACCTGCTTATACATGGTAGTTGTTTGGTAGTTGATGCCGGGGATGGTAGGGATGGTGAGCTCCTTACCCTCAGGGATCTCTCCCCCAGAAGATGGCTAAAGGAGCCAGGCTGGGAGCCTAGGTGGAAGCCAGGCAGGTAACTCTGTGGAGAGTTGCTGGGAGTTCCAGTGTTCTTGGGCTTACCTGCCTGACAGTAGCAGTTGGTTGGCAGTTGGTGGTGGTAAGAACAGTGGGGTACCTTATCCACAGGGGATTCTTCAACCTAGACGATGGTCACTTGGCTAGAAGCAGGCCGAGTGGGTCTAGGATGCTGCTATACCAGCGCTCTTGGTTATACGGGAGCAGATCAGTAGCAGGGGGAGTTGGTGGTGGCAGGAAGGGAATGTCCCTTCATCATAGGGGTTGCTCCCCTTGATAATGGCTTCAGTGGTCACCCAATCTTCATGGTGCCAGCATTGAACTCCTCCTTGGTTGACTTCCTATCATAGGCCCTACAGAAACTGTTCCAAACCTTCTCTCAAGTCACCTATTTCCCCTCCATTCCTATATCCTTTTCAGGAGAGGGGCAAGCTTTATATAATTTTACTGAGAAAATTCCTTTTCCTTCCCACTGCTATACCTCAAGTGGCTTCACTGTCACTCCCTCACTCTTTTCTCCTATGCTCCTACTTCAGGAAAATAGATGATTCTTCTCCTTGCCAAGGCCAACCTCCCTCTACCTGTGCCACGGATCCCATCTCCTCCAGAAGCTTTCTTCTTTGATCGTCTGATTTTTTTTTATAATCTTAAATCTCTCTATCTATCCATTCTTTTAAAAAATACCTTCCATTTGACCTCCACCATCCCCTCAAGCTATCATCCTGTGTCTCTTTCTTCCTCTAATAGCCAAACTCCTGGAAGAAGTGAGATGCCCTCCTTTCCTCCCAGGTCTTCACCTCCCACTCACTTCTCAACCTCTTGTAATTGGGCTTCTGATCCATGGCTCGGCTACAAATGCTCTCTGCCAAGGTTATTAAAGATCTAACTGCTAAATCTAATGACTTCATCTCTGTCCCCATCCTTTTTGGTCCCTCTTTTTTGGTACTGATGATCACTCACTTCTCTGCAACACTATCTCCCCCCTTGGGGTTGTTCTTGTCAACCCCACCCTCTCTTAAATCTGCCTGGTAGTTTGGATCATCTCTTAGGGATCTGATCAAAGCCTTACCTTTCTCTATGCTATTTTGAGGATCTCACCAAATGATCCCATTTAGCATCCCTATAACAAATTACTTCCAAACTTACAAACTCGGCCCTCATTTCTCTTCTGAGCCCCACTACTATGTCATCAACTGTCAATTGCCACATCTACCTAGGCATCCTCTGAGCATCTCAGATTCACCCTGCTGCACATGAGATTCTTCTCATTCTCTTTAAAACAGCCCCTCGCTTTCTATATGCCCTGTTTCTGTCAAGGACATCCTTTCGGACATCTCAGTTTTGCAGCCTCAGAGTTATCTTCAATTCCTTCTTCTCCTTTATCCATCTCTATACCAGTCAGATCTCATGTTGACCTCCACAACATCTTTTGTACATATCACTCATGCATTCAGTAAGCAATCATCAAAAGCGTCCCATGTGCTAGGCACTGGGTATACAAACACAAAAATCACGCACAAGTAAATGCAACATATACAAGGCAACCACTACATTGCCCTAGCAACTGGCGGGGGGTGGGGGAGGGGTTAGGAGAGGCTTCCTATAGGATGTGGCACCTAAGCTGGAGTACATTCACATTGAGGGGCAGAGTACAGGTGATGATCCAGTGAATAAGGCTGAGGAGTGGTCAGAGAGGTAGGAGGAAAACCAGGAAAGAGTAATGTCATGAAAAGTTTGAGGAAGACAGAGTATTCAGAATGAGAAGGTAATAGTTTTAAGAACCCCAGAGAAGCAAGTAGGATGCAGACTGACAAAAAAATTCATTCGATTTCACAGTTGAGAGAATACAGTTTCGGTCTAGAGATGGGGTTTTTAATCACATGACCAGTAAGGGACCTAGAACTGGAACCTAGGCTCCCAACATCATTTTTCATTTCTTCAACAATCAAAAATAAAACTAGCTGCTCTCCAAAGGATACAGGGCTGAAATTGACAAGCAGATGCCAGAAATTAAACATGCGGCCAGCTAATGCTTCAAAGATGGTCCTGAAACTCTTAAGATACTTAAATAAGTGTGGAAGTAGGGAGTAAGGACCCCTCACAGACCTGTTATGTTTGGGGGTTGGAAGGACAAAGGAGAAGATTGTAAATTAAGACGTATCTCCTTGTTTTTCTTTGGTGAATTTTTGTATGTCAATCACAGTATCTCCTTGTTTTTATTTTTCAGTCCATATAGATATAAGTGGGAGTTGGGGGCAGAGTGTTTTAGGGAGTCCTTCCCATGTCTCCTGCACTTAAAGGTCATCAGAAATAAGAATTAAAGAAATGAATTACATACAGTGGCAAGTCCTCTTTTATTTGGAAACATATTTTCTTAAATGCTGCTTCTGGAACTTTAACCAAACTGGGATATTTAAGATGAACAGAACGATGTGGTTAAAACCTAAGAAAATTTTCTCCACAAATCACACACCATAGTTTAGGTTCCTATCTCCTCTTGCCTGGATTATTCCAATAGTCTCCTAATTTGTCAGCCTGCTCCCAATCTCTTTTCTCCCCAATCCATGGCCAACCAGGTGCCAAATTCATATTTCTAAAGTGCATCTCTGAGCATGTCATTCTTCCATTCAAGAAGCTTCTGCAGCTCCCCATTGCCTCTAGAATAAAATACAACCTCCTTTGTCTAGTATTTACAGCCCTTTTCAATCTGGCTCCAACCCATTTTTACAGCACATTTTTGCCCCTCCATATACTATGCCTACTTGCCATTCACTATACACAAAATTCCATCTCCCACTTTGCATAGATTGTCCCTCACACCTGCAATCCCTAAGTCAGTCAGTCAGTCAACTAGCATTTATTAAACACCTATCATGTGCCAGGCATTGTGATAAGTGCTGAGGGTACAAAGAAAGGCAAAAGACAGTCTGATTTCAAGGAGCTCACATCACAGTATGCCAGGGGAGACAGCATACAAATTACATATAAACAAGATATAAACAGAATAAATTAGAGATACCAATTTATTTAGAGGGGAGGTAGAGGGGTGAATCAAGAAAGGCTTCTTGTAGAAGATGAGATTTTAACTAAGATCTGAAGGAAGCTAGGGAAGTTAGGAGGCAGAGGTGAGGAAGGGGAGAATTCCAAGCATGGGGGAAAGCCAATGAAAAGGGCCAGAGTTGGGGGAGTGTCATGTATGAGGAATGGTTAAGAAGACCAGTATCACTGGGGCAGTATGGGGAGGCAATAAGTATAAGAAGACTGCAAAGGTAGGAAGGGGGCAGTTCCAGAGGACTTTAAAGAACAGAGAATTTTTATATTTGAACCTGTAAATAATAGGGAGCCGGTGGAATTAGAGGGCTGAGATGGTCAGACTCACTTTAGGAAGACCTGACAGCTGAGGGTGGCCTGGAATAGGGAGAGACTTGAGGCAGGACAACCCACCAGCAGGCCAGTGGTGTGGCATGATAAGGACCTACACATGATAATGGTGGTTGCAATGTCAGGAGGCAAGGGGGCTTTTGTTGAGAAGGCAGGAAGTTGTAACTGACAACAGACCGGATATGGGAGTGCAGTAAGAGGGAGGTCGAGGATGATCCTTAGGTTGCAACAAGGCTGGGTGGCTAGGAGGATAGTGGTGCCCTCAACAGTAATTGGAAAGTTTGGAAGAGGGAAGGGTTTGGGGAGGGGAATAAGGTCAGTTTTGAACATGTTGAGTTTAAGACATCTAAAAGGCATTTGGAGATGGGACAGTGGAGGTCAGCAGAGGCTGGAGCTGAACACAAAAATCCGAGAAATCATCTGCACTGAGAGCCTAGTTGAATCTATGGGAGCTGATGAGATTGCCCGTACTCCTCTGTTCCATCATTTAGACTCCTTCCTGAATCATTTTTTGACTCTAAGTGACCCCATCTGGGGTTTTCCTGGCACAGATACTGGAGTGGTTGGCCATTTCCTCCTTTTTTTTCCTTTTTTTGATTTTTTTCCCCTTTTTTTCCTCATGTGGGAGTTTCTTCTTCTTTTTTTTTTTTGTTTTGTTTTTGTTTTAGGCAACTGGGGTTAAGTGACTTGTCCAGGGGTCACACAGCTAGTAAGTGTCCGGTCTGAGGCCGGATTTGAACTCAGGTCCTCTTGACTTCAGGGCCAGTGCTCTATCCACTGCACCACCCCTGGCCATTTCCTTCTCCAGCTCATTTTACAGATGAGGAAACTGAGGCAAACAGGGTCTGAGGCTGGATTTGAACCCAAGTCTTCTCTGATTTCATGATCCAATACTCAATTCATTATGCTATGCTGCCTCGCTTTATTCCCGGTAAAGAAAGCTGTAACTGGGCCGTACGTGCCCATATGTTCTACACAGGGGCCTGTCTCTCTGAATACAGCCTGGCCTACTTGGGAAATGATGTGTATGCCTCCCATGCCCATTCCCAGCTCCCATCCCCTTCCCATGTCTTTAAAGCTGCACCATTCTCCTTGAACAGGGAGGCAGCAACCCAAGGGCACCAGCCCAGAAAGAAAATTAGGTTTATTTAGCAGAGGGATGAACTCTGAACCCTGGCAATGGCTCTGCTTTTAGGGTCACCTAGAAGTCAGAGTTCAAATCCAAGTTTCCAACTTTTGGCTGGAGTAGGCAGGGGACAGGTATCCAGAAATTCGTGTCAGAGAATTGGGAATGGTAAGAAATAATTACCAGTGGAAAAAAAACACAACCATAATGACTAAGGCAGAGATCAAGTCCAGCAGTATCCACATTCTCATATACTCCTCTGGTGTCTAGAAAACAAACAAGACAGAGGTGGGCATGATTCTCAGGGGTGGAGGGAGAGATAAAAGAGCTTCTAGATTCCCCCATGGGGCAGGATCTCAGATCCTATACTGGCTGGTATGCCAAGCCTCTAGGAAGTCCTAGAGAGCCAAGATCGAAGAACTGTCCATGTGCATTGGGCTCTGTGGTGCGGATGAAGGGGTCTTAAGGGTTCAATACTGAGTCAGTAGTAAGGTCAAAAAAGCTAATTCAATCTCAGGCTATAAGAATAAACACACTGGGGGCAGCTAGGTGGTACACTGGATAGAGCACCAGCCCTGGAGTAAGGAGGACCTGAGTCAGGAGGCCCCAGACACTTACAAACTGTGTGACCCTGGACAAGTCACTTAATACTGACTGCCCCCCCAACAAAAAAGAATAAACACACTGTTCACACAGAAGGGCTTCATGTGTTTTAGGCAGGGCTCAGACTTAATGAACTCTGAGGTCTCTTCTAGCTTAGAGAGTCTATAATGCTCTGGTGGGAATATCTACTAGACTGGACCCCTGGAGAAGATGATTTTTGTTCAGTCATGTCTTTTGTGGCCCCATTTGGAGTTTTCTTGGTAATGATACTAGATTGGTTTGCCATGTCCTTCTCCAGCTCACTTTACAGATGAAGAAACTGAGGCAAACAGGGTTAAGTAATTTGCCCAGGGTTATACAGCTAGTAATTATCTGAGGTTGGATTTGAACTCAGGTTTTCCTGACTCCAGTCCTGGTGCTCTATCTACTGTGCCACCTAGCTGGGAAGATTAATACAGGCAGCTAACTTACCATTAAGAAGAATGGGCTTTTAATGTTCTTCAGTATCTGGATGGTGTTAGTGGTGACTGAATGAACCCCAGCACACCAGGCCAGGGAGTATAACCAGGGCTCGTTGATCACGTAGATGTTGGTGAAGATGCCATACTTCTCATATTCCCTGGAAGAAAAACAAAACCTCTAATGACTGACAATCCCTTCTTTCTCCCATCAATGAGAGGTCAAACAGAACTTTGGTGTCACTAAAAATCCACTGTGTAAGTGAAAAAAACCAGACTCTACAATGAAGACCCAATAGGAACAAAGGGACTGGAAATGCAATGGGTGGGATTTTAGGAAGACATCCCCCTAACCCCCTGCCCCATACACACACACACACACACACACACACACACACGCACGCACTTCAGCTAGCAAGCTAATAACATCTGCTGAATATTTAATAACTTCAGAGCACTGAACAAAAGTTTCCATTGGGGACAAGGGAAGGAATTAAAAGAAGGGAGAGAAAGATGCAGAAGAGCATCTTCCTTGATTCATGGGCTTATTATAACATAGATGACTGGTGTCAATCTAATAATGCCAGACGCCTTCTGGAGGAAGTGGTTGAAATAGGTTGGTTTCCCAATCTCATCTTTACCCCTCTCATCTTTGAGTCTTGGAATACATAGACCATCCTCCTTCCTTGGAAAGCATTTCATTCTTATTCCCACCTATTGAAATCCTCCCTTCCATGGAAGATCCAGTTTAAGTGTCATCAATTAATTTCAACAACTGCTAGGTAACGATTACAAGGAAATTAACGATAAACAGAAAGGTCCTATGTACACCAGAATTTTTGTAGGAGCAAAGACCTAGAAACAAAACAGATGTCCAGTAATTGGGCAATGGCTGTAGAGATTGGGATGATCCACTCTTTATTTCCATTGGCCGGCTGGCTAATTACTCTGGCTCCAACATCATAACCCTACTCTTAGAGATTTCTTCCTGAGACGTAGTACCTCTTGGGCCCACTTCAGCTCACTAACTTCTATTATTCTCCGATGGTCATTACAGGGGCTTGTTTGGGGAGGTTTTTTGTACAGATTTTAATATCACTTTGGTTCAGCCTTTGTGAACTTCTTGCTGTGGATCATATCCCCCTCACTCTTAAATGATTACAAAAAGAACCATGAACTAGGGACTGATGAGCGGCCCTTGAATTCTTGCTTTCTGGCTGCTTGTGGAATAGTTTCTTTGACTTGGTATCTCTGGATTTTGGTTACAATGATCCCGGAAATTTATACTTTGAGGTTTCTTTCAGAAGGCAACCAGGGGATTATTTCTATTTCTACTTTGCCTTCTGGTGCTAAGAGAGCTGGGCAATTTTCTTTTAAGATTTCTTGATGTATGATGTTTTTCAGGTCAGTTGCTCTTATGAGATAACTCATATTTTCTTCACTTTTTCCAGTTTGTTGACTTTGTTTTGATATTTCTTGTCTCATGGAATCATTGGCTTCTATTTGGTCCATTCTGATCTTCAGGGCGCTTGTTGCTTGGGCAAGGTTTTATACCTCTTTTTTTTATTATTTTACTTTGTTAAAGTTTTATACTTCTTAAGCTGTTAATAATTCCCTTCCTAATACTTTTTTCATAGCTCTCATTTCTTTTCCCATTTTTCCCTCTCGTGCTCTCATTTCACTTGTAAAAAAAATTCTGCAGCTCTTTTTTTTTAAAAAAAAGTTTGCTTTATCTCTCTCCAGACTTCTAGTTGACTTTTTGCCTATGCTGTGTTTTCCTTTAAAGCTTGGCTTACAGCTGTTTTGGAATCACTCTTTTTCTGCATTTGGGCCTTGAGCACCCCTGTCACCACAATAGCTTTTTATGGTAAGCCTCTTTTGTTGCTGTTGTTCATTCTTTGCTCATTCTTCAGCCCTACTTTCTGAGTTTGAACTTGATTTTAGAGCCAAATTTTAGACCCAGGTGTAGGTCTGATCAATGGTAGCCTACTACTATAATTAGCTACTATCAGCCAGCTAAGGAGCTCTGCTGGTTCAGAGGGACAGAACCACAGGCTCCCCTTTGGTCTAGGATTTCTGCCTTGCTTATTCCTCTGCAGACTTCAGATTTAGTCAGAGGCTAGAGCTGAGACCCCATTCAGCACACCACCTGGGGCCTGCAACCCTCATTATCCTAGAAAGCCATTCCTGGACGCAGGTCCCTACCTCAGTCCACCCTGGATCTATGACCTGGAAATGGAGAGTGGACAACAAAGTTGCCAGTTGGCACCTGTTCTCATTCTGGTACCCTGGTATGGGTCTGGGACCTCCTCTTGCCCTCATGCACAGATGGTTCATTTATAATGGAGCATTCCACACAAAGCATCAGTTTTTTAATATACTACCAACAAAACCCAGCAAGAAGAGAAAGAAAAGGGGCAGCTAGGTGGTGCAGTGGATAGAGCACTGGCCCTGGATTCAGGAGGACCTGAGTTCAAATCTGACCTCAGACACATAACACTTACTAGCTGTGTGACCCTGGGCAAGTCGCTTAACCCCATTGCCTAGCCAAAAAAAAAAAGTAGAGAGAGAAAGAAAAAAAGATTTCATTCATAATATCTATAGATTACATAAAATATTCCAGAATCTACCTACCAAGACATATATAAGAACCAAATGAATACAACTATAAAACATTCCCAGAAATAAAGACAGCCTTAAATAAGATGAATAGTGATTGATCATAGTTTGGCCATGGTAATATAATAAAAGTAACAGTACTGGCTAAATTAATTTACTGATTGATTGTCATTCCAATCAAATTACCAAAGGATTATTTTAGAGAGCTAGGCAAAAAAATAATGGCAAAATCCATTTGGAGGAACAAAAGGTCAGATTCTCAAAGGAAATAATGAAAAAAGTGGGAAAAAGAAAATCAAGCCATACTCTACCATAAAGTAGTCATCATTCAAATTATTTGATAACTTGCTTAAAAAAGAGAAAAGCCAATCAGTGGAACAGATCAGGTATACATCCCACAGTAGCAAATGAACATAGTGTTTGATAAACCCTGTGACTACAACAACTGAGGTAAGGCTCATTATTCAACTAAAAGTACTGGGGAAACTGGAAAACAATTTCGGAGAAATGATATAGATATAGATATAGATATAGATATAGATATAGATATAGATATAGATATAGATATAGATATAGATATAGATATAGATATAGATATAGATATAGATAGATAGATATATGTATGTAGTATGTATACATACACATATATACACACTTATGTATATGTATGCAGTGTATATGTGTGTATCTATGTATATGTAGATTGTATGGATATGTGTATGTATGTATGTATGTGTGTGTTTACATATGTGTGTATATATATATATATATTTACTTCAAATGATCTAGATATAAAAGGATCATATCATAAACAAATTGGTGGATCAAGGAAGAAGGTACTTTTCTCAACTATGGATAGGGGAAGAGTTCATGACAAAATAAGGGATAAAGCGAATCACAGAAGATAAAATGTACAATTCTGATTATAGAAAACTGAAAAGAAAATAAATTCAGTTAAAATTAGGGAATAATTAATTTGGTGAGATATCCAAGATATGTGTAGAGCTTATTCTAAAATATAATAATGGTAGCCACTCTCCAATAGATGAATGATCAAAAGATATGAACGGGCAGTTCTCAAAAAAAGCTTAATAAATGAAGGAAGGAAGGAAGGAAGGAAGGAGGAAGGAAGGAAGGAAGGAAGGAAGGAAGGAAGGAAGGAAGGAAGGAAGGAAGATAAATGCAATTTAAAGCAACTCTGAGGTTCTACTTCATGTCTCAAAGATAAGCAGAAATGACAACAACAAAACACAACAGGCAGGCAGTACTGGTGACACTATGAATTGGTCTGGCCATTCTGGAAAGTAATTTGGAACTGTGTCCCAAAAGTCACTAAACTATGTATACTCTTTGGACCAGAGAAACCACTCGCTACTAGGCATAAACCCCAAAGAGAAAAGGAAGCAGAAAAGAACCCATATGCACAAATATCTTTATAATAGCACTTTTTATCATAGCAAACAACTGAAACAAAGGGGTGCCTGTCGACTGGGAAATGGCTGCACAAATCATAGTATATGAATGTAATAACATACTATTGTATGAATTTAGAAATTACTAAAGGGACAGTTTGGGTGAAATCTGGGAAGACTTATATGAACTGATATATTACTAAATATGCTGAATTAACATAATAACAATAACATTGTAAAGAAAAACAACTTTGAAAGACTTAAGAACTCATACAATGATAATTATGGTTTTAGAGGACCAATGATGAAGCATACCATCTACTTCCTCACAGTGAGGTGATGAACTTAAGATGCAGGATAAAACATGGTTTTTTTTAATAAAGCAGACGTGCGAATTCATTTTATTTGACTAAGTGCACTGAATACAAGCATTGTATTTTTCTTATTTTATTGGGAAGAAGAATTTGGAGAGGAGAAGACAGAGGAGCTAGTGATAGTGCCACCAAAAGAGGGGAAAAAAAAGAAAAGAAAGAGAATTATTGATGCATTTTAAAAATCACACAGAACAGAAGAATGGTCAAAAGGGAACACAGAAAAGCTGGACAGATTTGAAAGTAAGATGCTGAATTTATTATATACTTTTTAAAAAGCAAGCTGTGTGTAACAGAGATCTGTTATTTCATATACAATCCTCTTTTCCTGTTCTACTTTACAAATGGAAACGTTCTTGGGGGTAGGAGCTGGTGTTCAATTCAGAATATTTTTTTTTCCAAAGAAAACAGCTCTAACTAAATTATGTGGATAGGAAAACTAAGGTTTTCACAGAATCAAAGAATTTCAGCATTAGAGAGGTTCATTTAGCCTGATCCCTTTAAAAGAAATGCCCCTGGGGCAGAACCAAAATGGCAGAGTAAAAGCAGTGACTTACTTGCGCTTTCCCCCAAACCTTTTCAAATACCTATGGAAAATGGTTCTAAACAAATTCTAGAGCAGCAGAACCTACAAAAAGAGCAAAACAAATTTCCAGCCCAAGACAACCTGGATGGTTGATTGGAAAGGTCTATTGTGCCAGGCTGGGAGAGGATCACAGTTCAGCGTGGGCCATGCAGGCAAAAACCAGGCCTCAGCAAATCTAGAGCAGGCCTTAGGGGACTGAATCACTGGCAGCTATGGTGATTTCCAAACATCTCAACCCACAAAAGGCAAACACAGGAAGGTCGGTAGGAAAGGTCTGTTTGACCTGAGTGAGAGAAGAGCTCAGTCCAGCCCCAGTCCCAGCGCAACCCTGGGCCAGTGGCTGCTTCCACAGCTCTCTGCTCACAGACTGAAGAGAATCAAGTGGCTGATCAGAGGGTGACTTCAGGTTCTCTTTGCTAGCACTGGGGCAGGATTCTCTTGCTTTGCCCATCCTTGGATCTAGATCACAGTTCTGGATGACAGTCCTGGGGCAAGGAGGAGCAGTGGCGTGGTGGAGCTTGTGGTGGTAATGCAGAGAAAAACCTCCTTACAGTTCCAAGGCAGAAAAGAGTGCTTGTGGTCACTCATAGACCAGAGCACAGGCCAGGAAAGGAGTGAACACCTACCTCTCCTTGGAAGAACTGAAAATTTACAGGTCCCTAGAAGTATCTCTGAAAACAGCTGCATAAAACCCCTGAAGCTTGAGACAGCATACCCTCCACACCAGAAGCAGAGCCCCACCTTAACAAGGAGTTAAAAACTCAAGTAATTGGCTGGGAACATGAGCAAACAGCACAAAAAACTCAGACTATAGAATCTTTTGTGACAAAGAAAATCAAAACATACAACCAGAAGAAGACAACAAAGTCAAAGCTCCTACATCCCAAGCCTCCAAGAAAAATATGAACCAGTCCCAGGCCATGGAAGAGCTCAAAAGGATTTTGAAAAGCAAGTAAGAAATGCTCCCCTACAATAGTGCCAACATACAGCCATCCTGCCTCCAGTTCAGGAGGCCTGACTTCCTCTCAAGCCAGCCCACTCTACTATCAGCTGTATCTATTAGAAAGTTTTTCTTTATATTATGCCAAAAACTGCCTCTCTGTAACCTCTGCTCATCACTCTTAGTTCTGTACACAAGGGTTAAGCAAAACAGATCTACTCCTTCTTATATATGAGAGTCCTTCAAATACTTCAAGGCAACACCACAATGTATGCACCATCTTTCCCCTCCCCCCTTCCCAAGAGCACCAGATTTTCTCTCCTTCCAGCTAAACACCCCCAGTCCCTTCAGCCATTTCTTATGTAGTTGCCCCCTTGATATTCCTATCACCCTCCTCTGCATGCACTCCAGTTTTTCAATGTAATTCCTAATTCGGAACAGCAGCACAGAAGTGATACTCCAGGTATGTACTGACATAATACAATGTACCTATATACCTATTTCACATTTTTCCAAATATTGCTCTAATTGCCTATTTATAAATATTGTGTTTATTGATACTAATCTTCCTACTGAAATGAGTCAATAAATTCTGCTTTTATTTCCCTTAGAAAAAGATAATAAAGTTCTTCTTCCAATTACTCCTCAAATTTGCCTATTTGAACCACAGGATCATGACTGAGGCACCACCTGGTGGGCCCAGGCAAGATGTAGAATTTAGAAAGGTTCAAGAGACATAATTTCTGGGCAATTTAATCATTTTATTAATAATGCCAGCATTTTAATAAAAGGATAGTCATTTGGCCATCTCTCACTTAGACCAAAGACAATCATGATGGAGGCCTCATGGCTTATAGGCCCACTGGAAGAGGGTTGTTCCTGAGGGTAGCAGTCAACTCTGATTGGTTAAGAATTAATGAGAAAATTAATATCACAATGAGGGGCTGCAAATGAACTTTGATTATGTCATTTACTTCTAAGTTACCCCCAGCCTTGGGCAATCTATTCAAAGAATTTATCCCTACCCAAATCTTGGTAGAGAACAATGGCTTCCCCACTTTGGTAAGGTCTGGATAGAGTGAGTAGAAGTTTAGCTCAATCTTCAGAGACTGAGGTCTTGAAATGAGGATAAAAGAAAAAGAGTAAAATTTTATATTTCCCCAAGTCATTGGTTACTACTAATCATTTCTCTCAAGAGAAATTCATAGAAGAAATTCATAGCTTTTTGAGTCCTGGTCTTAGAAAACTAAGCCTATAAAATAATCAACATCAGAAACAAAATTAAGACAAATGACAGGTGATATCTCAAATTATCAGAGGATTGATTGGGTAATCAATGAAGGCTTCCTAAAGGAAGCTGAGGCATGGATCAATGGATATGTAAGGGAAGAAAGGTATAATAAAAGGACTAAATCCTTGCATGCATAGACAGAAGTGAGAACACAATAGCTTGACTGGAGTGAAGGGTCTGGGTACAGCAGAGATTCTTGCTTGTATCATGGACCCCTCTGACAATCTGGCTGAAGCGTAGGGGCTCATCAGAATAAAATACACATAAAATACATATGAATCTAAAGGAAACAAATTATAGTGAAATACAATTATCACTATGTTAATAATGAAAAAACCCACATTCATGGACCCCAGATTAAACTCTCTTGTGTAGAGGAATGATAAGACATAAGAAAGGTTCATGGTAGGAAGGGACAGGGGTGTTCCCATCCCCTTTTGTGGAATCACCTACTTGATATCCTTGCTGTTTATGTCCTTGTAAGGAAGGTTCAATCCTCTAATTCCCATTCTCAAGAGGTCAGGAAGAGGCAACTTCTTTCCCAGCACTTGCCTGTAAATGGAGCTATCATTTGGACATCTGCCCTGTACTGCCCTGGTAACCAAAGGACCTGTAAAAAGTAAAGAAGAGGCTAGCTCTCAGGTCACTGGCAGGAGATGACTGTAGGCACCATTAGAAGGCACTTTATGATTCAGAAGGGCCAATACTAGCACATGCTAGCACATTTGACCCTCACAGCAATGCCAAAAAAAAAAATCGAGTCTTAGAATTCTCATTTGACAGATGAGAAATTCTAAGGAGTCACAGGCTCTAGAATTAGAAGAGACCCTAGAATGGTCTAGTCTAACTCTCCTCTTCTTTGATGAGGGAGCTGCAGCCTGGACAAGTGAGGTGAGGCTGCCTAATGTCACACAGTGGTGACTGGCAGAGCCAGATCAAACATATACCAAACAAAGGGGATGGTCTGGAGAGGAAATGGAGTCCCTAAACTGGGCCTCAGAGAGTCAGAAGGAACTTCAAAGAGCGTCTAATCTAAGCCATGCCTAAAGAGGGATTCCCTCTGTGATATTCCCAACAGGTGATCATTTCACCTTTACTTAGAGAACTCCAGTTACAGTAAGCTCACTACCTTATAAAGTACCCATTAATTCCACTTTCAGACATCTTTGCTAGGAAGTTTTCTCCCTACATCAAGTCCAAATCTGCCCCCTCAGCAACTTTTACCAGTTGCCTCTAGCTATGCCCTCAGTGTCTAAGAAGTACAAGTATAATTTCTCTTCCATTCCATACCACCCCCTCCCTGCCTTAGTCTTCCTTTTTCTTAATTGAACCAAATCCCCCTGCTCACCCATTCCCTCACCCCACCCTGGCACATTTCCAAGCTCCATTTGGAACTGGCTCCATCTCTGTGAAGCTTGACAATATTGAAGGAAGAAAAAGAGATCCCAGCAGCAGTTTTGGAACATCAATCCAACATTCACCAGGGAAGCTCTTCCAGGAAGTCTCCTTGAAGTTTTTTTCCAGAATGGAGCGCCTCAAGAATACTGTTCTTTCAGCTGCCCACACCATGAGCCAGGTACCCAGTATAAGCGAGGCTCCTATGTTGGAGGCTAATCAATGCCACCTAACATCTTCATGAGAGATTAGTGTTGGGCTACTTATTCTGTGATCTTAGGCAAGCCATTCCCCCCTCTGGCTCTGTTTCCCCATTTATAAAATGAGGGAATTGGAAGAGATGGTGTCTAAGATCCTTTTTAGCTCATAATCCTATGAGCTTGGTGTAAGTAGGTGGGATCCACGAGCACGAAATACAAACGGCAAAGAAATAACTATAGCTAGAAAACTTATGCTTCTTTTAAAAGAGGGTTGATATTTCACTTGGTTCCAAGTAAAATTTGGTTAATATTACCAATTCAGGCTTAGCTCATTTGCAAATGGATATTCCTATTAAGAAAATGACCACTCAAAAATAAAGAAGCATTCAAGGAATAGCTAACATTTCTACAGCACTCTATAATTTACAAATCCCCACAAAATATTATTTTCCCTATTTTCCAGATGAAAAAAATCAGGGCCCAATTAATCTCTATTAAATGATTTGTCCAAGTTGCGTGGCAGTAAGTGGCGGAATCAGAAATTGAATCAATGTCTTCCCATACCAAGTATAGTACTTTTTCCACACTACTCTAGTTGATTCTCAGCTGGCCCACCATCACGCATATTTGAGTCTAACGGCTGGGGTCTTCAGAAAGTAAGAGTCACAAATAAGGGAGATTGACGGACACTAGGACCACACGATATATTCCTCATTCTTTTTTCTCCCTTCTCTTTCCTTTTAACCTAGCATTTAGCACAGTGTGTGGCACATAGTAGGTGCTTTAAAAAATGTTGATTAACTGACAGACCTACCAGCTGGCTTTTAATCCCAACTTCATTGATCATCACTTCTAACACTTTCATGATCCATGTATTTCTGTAAGGATGTTTCTTTGGGGGACGGTAGAGATCAAATATCACCAGTTTATTTTCCTTGTTTGCAAGTCTCAAGAAATTGCTGAGTTTCATAATTGACTGATTCTTTGCCATCTCTTCATCTTCTTTTGTCAGCGGTGCCATGTATTTAAATGGCTTAGCCTAGAAGTAAGCAATAACGGCAGTAAACAAATTGGCGTAGACGTACACAGTAGTGATGACAAACATTTCCCAGCTTCCCATGCTCTGTGTTGTTCACATACAAAGCAGAATAAATCTCCTTATGGCTACCATTCTGCTCTCTGTTCCTTACAGACTCATAGAATCAGGGCTGGAAGAGGGCTCAGGGGCCATCTCATCCAATTCCTGCCTGAGCCGGAATCTTCAACACTATAAACTATCAGCCAAGTGTTCCGGCAAACTACTCCAAGACTCCTAGTGGTCGATGAAGAATTCACTACCATCCCATGCCTGGACAGCGCAGCGTCAGAAAGTCGTTTGGAGCCTAGCTCTGCCTCTACAACTTTGTCCATTGGTCACAGGACTGAGGATGTGATCGAAAGTTAAGGAACTGGAAAACAAACAAATTATCAAAAGCTAAACAAGTACAGAAGAAGAAATCTTAAAAATTATAAAAGAATGGGAAAAAAAGTTTGAACTGATAAATAGAACTAAGCGGTTTTTAAGAGACCAATAAAATCAATAAGTCATTAAATACCTATAAAAGAAGAAAACGGAACTACCCAAAATAAAAATAAGTTGAATCTACATTGAACAGAAAGGAAATAAAAAGAATCATCTAGAACTATCTCTAATTAAATACCAGAAAACTGAAAATTTAAGAAAATGGATAATTATCCACAAAAAAGTATATAAAATATTCTGATTAAAAAAATAAGAATTAGATATTAAAAAACAAAATTTTAGAAAGAGAAATCAAGCAAGAAATAAACTAATCATCAAAGGAAAAAGTCCTGTTCCAAATGAATTTACAAGTGAAGTCTATCAAATACTCACATAGCAATTTACCCCTTTGCTACAAAAATTCCAATAATTAAATTGTACATTGTGCAAAATTCCTTTTACGAGATATAGTATTGAATTCACACTAATACAAGATGAGGGAAAAGATTACTATATACCTATATATGATACTATATATTACTACATAAATGACTACTATATAAAATTCACTAATGAATAGCAATGTAAAAAATTTTAATTAAATCTTAGAAAAGAGATTAATATAATTAATATAATATAATAATAATATCCACAAAATTATTCATTATGACCAAGGTGGATTTTTATGCCATGGATGCAATGGTAGTCTAATAGTAGGAAAACAACTACTATAATTAATCATGTAAATATAAATAGATATAGAAAAAATCTAACAAAATATGGTACTAACTTCAGGGGTTTTTAAAAAATTACCCTAAAACATTAGCATGGAAGGGCCCATCTTTAATAGGTTCAAAATTATGTAGCCAAAATCACAAGGTAACATTCTTTTCAATGGGGAAGAACTGAAAAATTTCCTCAAAAGTACAAGGATAAAGCAAGGATGTTATTTGATGACTTTTAAAAGAGCTTAGCCAAAACACTGAAAAACACAAGGAACTGGGACAGTACATGTATGCAACTGTGTGGCACTCTATTAAGCCTGAAGGAAAGAGTCCAGCATCCAGTTAGGGTTAATTCTGTCCTCCCAGAAGTCACTTGGGGAAGAAATTGAGGCTGTGAAATTATGAATCGCTCAATAAAGACAGGGAGGAGGCTAAATGGATTTAAGGTTCAATTCCCAGGAAAACTACAATCAAAGGGTAAGGAATCAGAAAATGAGAAATAGAAGACTGTAAGAAGAAAAAAACTGACATTACCAAAGGTCTTAAAGAGAAGAAAACTCGATTAAAGACCTTATGCATAAGCAGATAAACCAACAGGGAAGGTATCAATAACGGAAGGGAATATGGCCTCCTGAATATGTCCAGACATCTCTGAAGAAATATTGCAAGACAAAGGGAGATGCATCAGCACCTGAGGAGGAAGAAAACTTGTGGATCCTAAAGAGAGCATACAACAACAGATGTTCCTGACTGGTTTAGAAGAGAAATAATGACTATGAATGCATCATTTAAGGCCTGCACAGCAGAAATAATCAGAATAGAAAAAACCTGGATTCATGATAGCAGGTCTCACTCAAGAAACAAACGAGAGAATAACTGACTGGGAATACAAATACACATAAGAGAAGGATAACCTGGAAAAAAGAAAAGCAAGAAGTAATGATGTTGAAAGAAAATATATCTCCATACAAGCAAAACATATTGATCTCAAAGACAGGACACATAGAGACACTTAAGAATTACACATCTACCAAAGGAACACAAAAATAAAATGGCCAAGCACCATAACACAGTAACTTCTCCAAATTTCTGAACAAAGAAAACAAAGTGCTAATTAATAGAACCCACAGGTCACTTCCAGAAAAAAAAAAGTTAGACTTAAAGCTATTCTAATTAAACTGCCAAATACCAGACAAAACAATAGCAAAATTAATTTGAAGGAACAAAATTTGATTCCAGAATCTTTTATTAAGCACTTACTGTCGTGCAAGGCAATGTGCTGGGCAGTGGGCATACAAAGACAAAAATGAAACAGTCCTTGCCCTCAAGGAGCTTGCACTCTACAAGGGAGATACATAAATAAGTATACTGTCATTAAAAAAAATTTCAAGAGGGAGACAGCGGTAGTAGTTCTTGGGAGCACAAAAGGCATCATATAGGTATAGAGGTGGCAACACAGCCAGATCAGTGTTTTAGCATAATCAATTTGCTGCTGTGTGGAGGATGGATTGGAGGAAGATTAGAAGTAGAGAGAATAATTAGAAGGCTACTGCTATAATATAGACAATAAGTGCTGAGGGCCCAAACTAGGATAGATATTTTATGAATGGAGATAACACAGATGCCAAGAGATGTTGTAGTTATAGGATCCATGAGACTTGTCAACTAGGATATGGAGATTGAGGGAGAAGGAAAAGTTAGGGATAACTCCAAGGCTGTGAACCAGGGTTACTGGAAGGACAGGGTACCAGAAACAGAAATAGGAAAATGTGAAAAAGGTTAGGTGTTAGGGAAATGATAAGGAATCTATTTTGTGGGGGAAAAGTAGAAGAGTCTAATGAACTTGGATGAGAGGCTATATAAGGGACATCCACTTATGTTATGGTACTGAAGCCACCAAGATAGGGGCAGGGGTCTTTGAAAAAGGAGGGACAGTGAGGTGGAGGTAGGTAAATGACAATATGATGAGAATTTTATAAAATGTTATAAGGATTTTTTAAAAATTTCTTTTCAGGCTAGCTGAGGAGCCCAGAAGCTGCTCTCGGCCGCCACACCACAGAAGATGATGAGGAACTGGAGTGGAAGGCAATAGAAGAACTTCTCAAGAAAGCTAAATGGGAGGAAAACCCAAGCAGAGACAATGGGGCCTGTGGGGTGCATAAAGTGTCCTCTTGCTGGCACAAATAAAAACAATTAAGAACACATTATCCTCTCAGAAGGAGCAAGACCAAGAGCAGAAGGAAGACAATAAAGAACATGAACCAAGTCAGAACCAGGGAGAAGAAAACCCAAAGAAACACAGAGCTCATCCGTACAAACACAGCTTCCAGTCTCAGAGAGGAGTGAGTTATTCTCCAAGAAAGCAGAACACCCAGGAAAAGCACGAAAAGCAATCCAACAAGTGATGAGGCAGGCACTGAAGAACAGGCAAGACTGTTACAAGCAATGAATGTCATCACATTTTAGACTGGGCAAGTGTTTAGCTTTCTTTACATGGAGAAGGTTGTTTAGTGCAGGTATTTAGCTAGCAGGGAAGACAGCTAAGAAAAACATTATAATAGACTGATATTTTGTTGTGGTTTTTAAAGAATCTGTTGGTCATAAACAAAAATGACTTAGTAATTCTTCCTTCTGAAAATTAATCCTAAGGGTAGAAGTCTTGAAATGTTTATTGTATTTTAATAGTGTGTATACATTTGTTATTGCACCTATTTTCAAAAGTTAGTTTGGAAATAAACAAATCTAGAGTTAGATTTTAAATTTTTCAGAGATTGTTCAAAACAGTTAAAAATAGCTGTTGTATCTCAGTTGTGGTCATTTTTCAGAGTGGAGAGCAAAATCAAAACCTCTTCAGCTCTGCATTTTAGATTCGGGGTATCAAATTTAGTTTGTTCAAGAAGCTGAAACAGCAAAAATCCTGTGGCTGTGGAATGCACTATTTATAAAACCTCCCTCTAGCCTTCAAGGGCTAGAGTTTATCAAGAAATTTGTTAACATCTCTAGCACTTATTTTTGCTTAGATAAACAACGTGGAGCATTCTCAAAATAGCTTTGAATTTACTACCTAAGACAAACTAATGGAGATGAAGAATCAAGATCTCCTTGTTCCTCTTGCAACAAAGCTTTGTTCTGTATAAAATGCATTTTTTCCCCTGAATTTGAACTTTTCTCCAGAGGTCATAAATTGGGAGGAATACAGTTTGGTGCTTTAGAAATAACTGTCATCAACGGGACCTCGGACAGGTGCTCTGACGTCATCAACCTCAGCTCCAGGGCCGGGCACTTCCGGTACCATCCAGCTCTCCTGGAGGCCTCGGTCTGTGCAGAGATCTGCCCTCCGAGCACTCTGCCCTTCCTCAAGAGGCAGGAATGGCCCCTGTGCTCCTGACAGCCAGGACCCTCCAGATGCCATGATACCAGCTCTGGTTTTGTTACCCAGCCATTTCCAGTGGACACAATGTAGCCTTAGTGACTGAAAGGATTAAATAGGATGGACAGAAATATAAGGAATCAGTGACATTCAGGAGTGGCTGTTGACTTCGCCTGGGAGGAATATGGGCAGTCGGACCCTTCCCAGAAGGAGCTCTACAGTAGGGGAACCTGAACTGCCTGAGACTTGCTGTTTCCAAGCCAGATGTGATCGTCAGTTGGAACGAGGGGAAACACCTTGGATGTCCAAGAGAGAGAGGTCCCAGAAAGCATCTGTCCAGATTGGGAGGCTAGGCCTGAAGTCAAGGCACCACTCCAAATCAGGAAATTTCTATGGAACCATCATCCCATAAAAGATCAGTAAGGAATGATTTCTACGTCTCCTACTTGAGAGAAGTCTGGATACGTGAGGCTAGTGTAGAGATGCAGAAGAATAATAAAGAGGCACACTCTGGTAATGTCAGAATTACCAAAAGAAAAACTCACTATAAATTGAGAGGCCTTGAATGTAAGTATGGAAGAAATCTCCATGTGGGCCCAGTCCTTTTTTCAAAACAGAATGTGTCTTTGAGAGAGAATCTTTGTGCATATGATGCACAGAAAAAGACTTCAGTCACGAATCTGTTCAAAGAAAATATTTCCAAAGTGTAATAAAAGTGAGAAATCTTTGAACTCCAAATTAGAATACACCAAATATGATCTATGTGAATACAAAGACAGCAGAAAAGACTTCATCTACAAACCCAGCCCACCATGAATTCCCACCAAATAATAGACACTTGGAAAGAAACCCTATAAATGCAATGAGCACGAGAATGCTTTTTTCCAGAATCCACAACTTACTGAATATAAAGGAACTCTCAGTGAAGAGAGATTTCATGACCACAGTGAATGTGGAAAGCCTTCTGAAAATTCCTCTGGGTAGATTCATACTGAGGAGAAATAACCGTCATCAACCAAACTTACTGTGCTTTGATTGATGTTGAGGATTTTATTCAATGCTCTTTGGTTTTTTAGTTAAATCCCCAGGTATAGATATCACGTGAAAAGTTGTACCAGAAATCTTTTTAACAGAAAGCATGCTGGATTTTTTTTTCCAATGTTGGCATAGGCATTTCTTAATATGATTCTAAATCTCACAGAGTCCCACTCCCAAACTCCGGACTATATAACAATATATTCCTAAACCACAGAGAGAAGAGTCTCTATTCCCTTCCCAAATCTTCCAAGGCAGCTGAGCTTATGCCTGGCTGCCTCCAGATAATCACTCAGCCACAGCATATTCCCAGCAGCCAAGAAAAGCTCTTTCTATGCACAAAATCAGCACATTAGAAAGGCCAGCTCCAGAGTGCTGTGGAGGAGCCAGAGGACGCCATGACAAAATTGCTCTGTCTTCCCCAGTGCTACCCCAGCATACTCTCTTTGTGTGCCCTGGGCATCCAAACTTTTCTATGAAGCCCAAGCTTCTGTGTGGTCAGAAGCCTGAACATAGAACCACTCCAACTAGGATGATTAGAAAAAATTCCTTATTTTTTCCTTCCCCCTTCTACCCCCCAGCCAAAAAAAGTGCAGAGGGAGTCCCTCCATAACTTTCCAACAGCTAATTCCCACCCCCATCATACACAGAAGGAAGAACTGAGGTAAACTTGACTTTATACAAAAGTTATGCCTAAATGATCCTAGTCTTCACATCTGTATTATTTGTATTTATTTTACTTTGAAATATTTTGTGTGTAAATATCTACAGAAACAGAAAAGTTAAGAAGTTTAGTTTTTTGCAAATTCTTATTTTAAATGAGTAAAGATAAAGTTAAATTGTGTCAGAAAAAAATTCTTTTCATTGGATTTTATTGTTTGGAATTTTGGGCTATCCCTCTGGGAACATTTGGTAACTGAAGTCTATTTCCTGTTAATATTAATCTCACCTGGAGACTTTTGACATTCCTGAGATAAGAAACCAGATGAGAGAAAGAAGGGAATAATGACATTTACAAAATCTTAAAAAAATAAAAAAACTTTTCAAGAAATTTTATGGTAGAAGGAGTCCCCCTGATGCTGACCCTTTGGTTATGTTTATGACATCTAAATCTCCTTCTCTCAACTACTGCATTGTAACTTCTTTAAAACACAAAAAACTTAGTGTTTAAATCTGCAATGCAGTCTCTTTACTAATTTGTTCTAACTTAGGTGTTCATCCCTAATGAGGAAGCATGAGATAATGACTCTGTTTGGTTAGGCCTGTGTGACCTTCACGGCCTTAACAACGTAGTTATCCATGCTTTACATGTTTCACCTCCTACTGGCAGTTTGGGAATCTTTGGGAGAAAGTGCTCTTACACTTATGATAGAGGGGAAAGGAAGGGGGCAGGATGGGGAGGGGAAGGGCACAAACATTTAGTAAGTATCCACTATGTGTCAGGCATTGGGCTAAATGCTTTACACATATTACGTTATTTGAGGTGGCCGGAGAGGAATTTTCTTCCTTTAGCTACTTTGATATTCTGCTTAATTAGATGCTTTTGCTGTGAGTTAATGTACAGTGTGATGTGGCCTGGTAACAAGAAGCATCAATTGGGGGGTTCGTGGGTTGTAATTTGAAACAGGGGTTGATCTAAAGTGGCCCTTTAAACTAGGTGAAGGTTTTAGGAGCCCACATTTGAGGAAGAAATCTCAGTTCACTCCCAAAAATCTTTCCAGATCTGAGTAACAAGTCTCTTACTCCTTCTGGGTCTGTTTCCTCATTTATAAAATAAGGAGTTTGGACAAAGTAGATGAATTTTATGTTTCCTTTCCAGGTCTACGACTTTATTTTTTTCTCTTCTCCTGCCAACAGTCACATTAATGGTGAGCCACCCAGAGAGGCACGAACTTTAAGGGCAGAGGCAGGGCAATCACTTGTTGGGTAAGTTATAGTAGAGATCCCTTTCTGGGAATGGGTCAGATTAAATAGCTGCTGAGGTCCCTTCCAATTCTAAAATACTGTAATTCTGACACGGGGACCCAATTAGTGTGGCCCAGTATCATTCCAGGTTGGCCAGCTCTAACCCTGTTACCTTGAAGAACCATTGGCCTGAGTTCAGGGTTTCCAGAATTTGCCAAGTGAACATAGAAGCAGGCATGTCAGAGAAATCCGGCAAGATCTCATGGATATTGGTTGTTCTCCTCAGGGTGGAGTCATGCATGAGGAAAGGAACACCATCATAACTGTGGACAGACAGAGGGCAAGGATTGATTGGCATTTCCCAAGGGAGGACAGTTGGAAGGGTCAGCTATTTTCGTCTTCTGGCTACTGAATTCTAATGATGGAAGCTCCCCACAAGCTCATGCTTAACCAACAGAGTTTGGGGCCATGTAGCATCAAAGCCCAGGTCATAACCATAACTCATTCCAACATACATATACTCATAACCCAATAGCTACAAAGAGAGACCTATATAATCTTTCTATGGTTCACCACTGTCTTGAAATATTAACAAAACTAACTCCCTAGTCTGAAGCCCACGTAGAGAAACTACAAAGTACAGCACACATATTTTTAGACTTTTTTGGTGTAACGATCAGTTACACTGATTTTTTAAAACTCTTTTTCTTTTTGTCTTAAAAGATATCATTTGTTATATGAGGTGACTCCGGGAGGCAGAGAGGGAGGGATAGTGGGAGGAAAATATGATGACGTAAAAAAAAACCAAATGACTCCAATAAAACTTATTTTTTACATGAGCCAGAGCTACTCTGAATCCTCATTCAGCCCAAGAAATGCTGCAATATTCTCTGGCTCACCTTACCTATAATAATGTGGCTTGTTTTAGATAACCACTAGCACCTGAAGAGCTCTGACTTCCAATTGTTTTCTATTCCAGTTATCCTGGGGACATAATTAATGTGACAGGCCCGGCCAGCCTGGGCTCTTCCCTCTGCTCATATGCTCACTGCCCACATTGACAGGTCCCTGTGCCATTATGGGGAGCTTGACTATCACTGCTCCCATGCATATATTTGTTCAAGCTATTGAAAGACCAGTGAGGGTCTGCTGACAGCTGTTATTGTCATACTTGGGTAAGGCTACTGGCAGCAAAATTATAAAATCAATTGACCTTGGATTCAGGGTCCTAGTCTCTGCTCTCTAAGTTCTCCTCTCACTTCTGCAGGGTCCATCCCACTATTACCACCATCTGTGTGTCACCCTACCCTCTCCCTCTTTCTCTTGTTCTAATCAAAGCTTCTGACATTACTTTTTGAGTGTCTTTCTATATGTGCCTGAGGGTATGTGTTCCTTCTGGAAGTCTTATATGCCAGGTCATCAACTAAGCTGTCAAAGGATCTGAGAAAAGGTAATGCTTAAGGCATAAGGTTGTGATCAATCTGGGTCATCACAATTGTGGGTAGAGAAGTTGAATTGTGTGTGGTGGAGAGGGTTGGTGGGGGACCATACATGTTTGCAGAGTATATAGTGTATGTGTTGTGTGTATGTGGGAATGTAGTGTGGGAGAGGAGCTTATTTGGTGTGGAGGCAGAGCATTTACGTATGGAGAGGGTGGCTGGATTACTTTTTTATACACAGTTTGTGTATATTTAGGGGAGAAAGTATTCTTCCTACATGGGAGGAAATTGTGTGGCATCTGTTTATGTCTGTGTTAGTGGGGGTGGGGGGGTTCCTTGGTGGAGTGGAAGATATTGTGTTCTTGCCAAAGATGGCTAGGTAGTGCCTGCATGGGGGGAAGAGGTTGTGATGTGTGTGTTGGTGAGGTGGAGTCTCTGCACATGGAGCTAAGTCCTTAGCCTGACAAAATGTCCTGCCTCCATTCTTACCTGAGGGTGACATCAGTCTCCAGCCCTGTGGCACCATGTTCAATAGCTTTCTCAAAGGCCATCTGAGTATTCTCTGGTGCCAGCTAATGAAAAGGAACAGGAAATCAGAATGAATTGCAATTTTCTTCTTTTACCTTCCATAAGAGTAAGGGAAGGATGACTGTCTCCCAAAAAGAGGAGAAGAAGCAGCAGGAAGAGATCACATAGCCTGCCATGTGCTCATGGCCTCTCCTTGCTGCCCTGGCATTGCCCAAGAAAATAGCTTTAGTCCAACCTTTTCAACACTTACCAGGTCCCTTTGTTCAATCTACTTTCAAGAACGTCTGAAGTCATCTGAGGCAGACTGGTGCTAAGAGACCTCTTTCTAATCCTGGATTTGCCACTGACTACATGATTGTGAACAAATCACTTACCCTTTCTGAGCTCCAGTTTTCCCCCTTTAAGGGGATGGGATTAGATGATAATTTCCCAGAATAATTTGGCCACAGGACACTATACTCAGGTTTGAGATATACTAATAGAACACCAAAATTCTAGTCATTACTTGGGTGTGGAGGAGAAGAATTGGGATGATTCCATGGCTGAGGCAACTATTTGTCAATTTGACATTAATAATAGAGGTCCATTGGCATATACACAGAAGTGGTAATGGAGATCCTCCCAAGACTTGCCTCTGTGATGGCTACCTAACTCTTCCAATGACTCAGGGCAATTAATACTATCAGAAGGAATCCAGAAAGCAGCAGAAAGGATTGGTTGGAGAAAGAAACTAGAAGGTCTTAGGGGGAAAGGTTGTGTTTTTCTCACTGCTGCCAATCAAAAGAAAAGAGTAGATTTGGGAAGGTCGCTAAGAAGACAATGTGGATTTTCAATTTGTGGACCATGTTTTAAAATATAAGAAGGATAGGCTTCTGGTCAGAAATGGAATTCACCTAAGGGTAAAAAGGTACTTACCTAGAGTATTGCAAATCTAATCAAAGGGGCTTTAAAACAAATGAAACACGAAGCAAGAACAAACACCATGTCTAGCTACCAAGCTATGTCCCCTTGAAAATAGCTGCAATGGCTACTTTCAATGCAGTGACCAGTCAAGACCCCAGAAGACTAATGATGATCTGTGTAACTCACCCTCTGACACAGGTGAGGGAGTCAAGATGCCGAGTAAGACAGACATTCTCGGCCATGGGCAACGTGGGAATTTGTTTTGCTTGGCTATGCATATTGGTTATTGGCTACAAGGAGGTTTTTCTTTTAAATTGGAAGAGTAAGGAGGAAATAAACAAATGCTTGCTATAAAAACAAATTAGTATTTTTTAAAAAGCAAGTAGCTACAATGTACAAATAATAATAGCAATCAGACATCTCTCCCTCCTCATCCCCAATAATCTACAGAAGGCAAAGTCAAGAATAGTGTCCACGGCCTTAGATATATAAATAGAAAAAAGCATGAGTAACAAGGAAGGAAAAGCAGAGATCTTTATGTAGCTAACATTTATATGTAGTACCTGCTATGTGCTAAACAATTCTCACAGTAACCCTGGGAGGTAGATACTATTTTTATCCCCATTTTACAGCTGAGGAAACTGAGGCAGACAAAGGTGAAGTGACTTGTCCAGATTAACACCGCTAATAAGTGTCTGAAGCAGAATTTGAACTCGGGTATTCCTCACTCCAGAGGCAGGAAACTGACTCAAGAGGTAGAAATATAAGCAATATTATCACTAAATTAATACTACTGATCACCTGGATGGAAGGATGAAGTAGATAGTGTCTGGAATCATTAAGCCTGATATGATAAGAGATTCGATTTTCTTGACATCTGTTGTTTTTCTCTCTCTGGCAAAAGTGGAGCAGCAGCTAAGAACTTCCTGACTTGTCTCGATGATAACCTCATCCTTCAAAAAGTAGAGGGAGAAATGAAGGAAAATGCTACTCTTGACTGGATGCTTATGAACAAGAAGGAACTGTTGGAGAAATGATGAACCTTGGGGGAAAGTGATCACTCTGCCTTAGACTCCATAGCAGAGGAGACGGCCAGACACAGTTTGTCACATAACCTAGATTTAGAGAAAAGAGATTTCAGAGGGTTCCGTGAAAGGTTATTAAGATCATACAGACTTCTGGACAATCAGCTGTCAGGCTACCTGGAGGCTGGTGGGTTCGTCAGCACTGAACTCCTACAAAAGAAGGTTGGTTGGCTATTTGTTATGTGCACTGTAGATGTTGCTCTTCAGGTACAGATTAGATGAATTCTCAGGTTTCTTCCAAATCTTGAGACCGTGTCATTTAAGGAAACCACAGCATAGCACACTTACTTAGACTTAAGCGATTTGCTCAAGCATTCAAACTCAAGTCCTCTGCCTCCAAATCCTGGGCTATTTCCACTACATCACACTTCTTGGGATTCTCTTCTCCCCCAGACAACTGGATTTGCTACAAATTAGTGGGCTCTCTCCTCACAACTCCCCATCTCAAGAATATCAGTTCATATTGGCTGTGGTGGCTTTATTGACCAATGGCCTCTAAAAGAGAAGTTTTTCTCACTGAACCTCTTTTGTATCTTGGGGAGCAAGGATTCCACTTCTAGCCTAGAAAATGCTGGGCTTGTTTACCTCTAATATCTTTCCATTGCCACCACCACCATTAGATTGTAAGCTCCTTGAGGGCAGGGACTGTCTTTTGCTTGTTTTTGTATCCCCAATAAATGTTTATTGACTGTTATCGCCTATTATATAAAGGCCTTGTGCATAGGCTCCAGAGCTAGATGTACCTTTCAACCCCTGAATTTTATAGAAGAGGAAACTGAGGCCCAGATAAGTTAAGTAGCTAGTCCAAGGTTATAAAAGTAGCAAGCAGCAGAGCCAGAATTCAAACCAGGTCTTCCGACTTCAAATACAATGCTCTCCTTCCAGCTATCAAGCACAGGCTATGAAGCAAGCACAGGTCAGTGAGCTTTCTTCAAGTTTCCAACACAGGCCTAGGCAGGTACTGAGGAGGCCAAAGTTTAGTTGGTCAATAGAGCCATTTAAATAGCTCTGACATTCTTTAAAATAAAAATTGAAATTCATGGATTTGATTTATTTAGGGTAACCCTCTCTTCCACTTAGAGGTGACCACAATCAACCAATAAATTTTGATTCCATGTAAGGAAGACTATTGTAGCAATTAGAACCTACCAAGAATGAGAGGGAGGAAGAGGAGAGGAAAAGGAGTAAGCATTTATATATCACCCCCTGTGTGCCACACATTGTGCTAAGCACCTTACAAGTATTATCCCATTGGATCCCCACGACAATCCTGGCAGGCAGGTGCTGTAATTATCCCATTTTATGGTTGAGGAAACAGGTAGACAGAGGTTAAGTGACTTGCTCAGAATCATACAGCTAGTAAGGATCAGAGGCAGGATTTGAACTCAATTCTATCCTAACTCCAGTCCTGGCACTCTGTCCACTGAACCACTTAGCTGCCTCAATGAATTGGCTTATGATATTATAAGCTCATCTCTGAAGGTATTCAAGCTGCTAGCATGGAGAAATGAAATGGGCACCAGGCTTCGAATCAGGAAATATGAGCTCAAGTGCCAGCTCTGCCATTTACTGGTCATGATACTGCAGGATTGGGAGCAAATTACCTGATTTAACTATGTTACCTATGCTTACGTATTTGAGCTAACAAGAAAGCAGTTTCTTACTTTTTTTCTAATTTTGGTTTCATTGGTTTTGTCTATGGGAAAACCGTTTTAATTTGTCATAATCTAAACTGTCCATTTTACCTCTTGTGAACCTCTCTGCATCTTGTTTTGCCATGAACCTTTGACCCTTATCTGAAGAGCTGACAGGTAGTTTTTTTTTCACGTTCCTCTAATATGCTTATGGTGTCACCTTTTATGTCTCAATAATATACCCATTTGGAACTTATTCTGGTATATACAGTGTCAGATGTTGGTCTATACCATACTTTCCAGTTTTCTCAATAGTTTTTGTCAAATAGTGAGTTCTTGCCCCAAAAGCTGGGATCTCTTTTGGGTTTCTCAAAAACTAGGCTACTAGGTTCATTTGCTTCTAAATATTGTATATCGAATCTGTTCCACTGATCAACCTTTATTTCTTTTAATTAATTAATTCTTAATTTTCAACATTCACATCCACAAGATTTTGAGTACCAAATTTTCTCCCAATCCCTCCCCTCCACTTACCCCAAGCCAACGTACATTCTGAATGCCCCTTCCCCCAATCTGCCATCCCTTCTATGATCCCTCCTTCTCTTATCTCCTTCCCTTCTATTTTCCTGTAGGGCAGGATAGATTTCTATACCCCATTCCCTGTATATTTTATTTCCCAGTTGCACATAAAAATAACTTTTAACATTTTTTTTAAACTTTCAATTCCAAATTCTCTCCTTTCCTCTCTCCCCACCCACCCTCATTGAGAAGGCAAGCAACTTGATGTAGGTTATACACGTGTAGTAATGCAAAACACTTCCATAATAGTCATGTTGTGAAAGACTATATTTCCCTCCATCCTCCCACCCTCCATTTATTCTATTCCCTCCTTTGACTCTGTCCCTCCTCAAAAGTGTTTATTTCTGATTACCCTCTACCCCAATCTGCTCTCTCTTTTATCATCCATTCTCTTATTCCATTCCCCCCTACTTTCCTGTAGGGTAAGATAGATTTCCATACCCAATTAAGTGTGTATGTTATTCTCTCCTTAAGTCAAATCTGATGAGAGTAAGGTTCACTCATTCCTTCTCACCTCTCCCCTCTTCCCCTTCACAGTAAAAGCTTTTTCTTGCCTCTTTTATGTAAGATAATCCTCCCTCACCCCTTGATTTTATTTTTTAGATATCATCCCTTCATATTCAACTCAGCCTGTGCCATACACACACACACACACACTCATATATATATATATATATATATATATATATATATATATATATACATATATATATATACACACACACACACACATACATACATATATAATTTTTCCCTCCAACTACCCTAATACTGACAAAGGTCTCATGAGTTAAAATATCATCTTTCCACTTTGGAATGTAAACAGTTAAACTTTAATAAGTCCCTTATGATTTCTCTTTCCTTTTCACCTTTTCATGCTTCTCTTAAGTCTTGTATTTGAAAGTCAAATTTTCTATTCAGTTCTGGTCTTTTCATCAAGAATGCTTGAAAGTCCTCTATTTCACTGAAAATCCATTTTTCCCCTGAAGGATTATACTCAGTTTTGCTGGGCAGGTGATTCTTGGTTGTAATCCTATCTCCTTTGACCACCAGGACCAAGCCCTCCAGTCCCTTAATGTAGAAACTGCTAAATCTTCTGTTATCTTGATTGTGTTTCCACAATACTTGAATTGTTTCTTTCTGGCTGCTTGCAATATTTTCTCCTTGACCTGGGAACTCTGGAATTTGGCTATAATATTCCTAGGAGTTTTCCTTTGGGGATCTCTTTCAGGAGGTGATTAGTGGATTCTTTCCATTTCTATTTTACCTTCTGGTTCTAGAATATCAGGGCAGTATTCCTTGATAATTTCTTGAAAGATGATGTCTAGGCTCTCTTTTGATGATGGCTTTCAGGTCATCAAATAATTTTTAAATTATCTCCCCTAGATCTTTTTTCCAGGTCAGTTGTTTTTCCAATGAGACATTTCACATTGTCTGATATTTTTTCATTCTTTTGGTTTTGTTTTACAATGTCTTGATTTCTCACAAAGTCATTAGCTTCCATTTGCTCCATTCTAATTTTTAAGGAATTATTTTCTTCAGTGAGCTTTTGGACTTCCTTTTCCATTTGGCCAAGTCTGCTTTTTAAGGCGTTCTTCTCATTGGCTTTTTGGACCTCTTCTGTCATTTAGGTTAGTCTATTTTTAAGGTGCTATTTTCTTCAGTATTTTTTTGTGGTTTCCTTTAGTAAGCTGTTGGCTTATTTTTCATGATTTTCTTGCATCACTCATTTCTCTTCCCAATTTTTCCTCTACTTCTCTTACTTGCTTTTCAAAATCCTTCCATGGCTTGAAACTGATTCATATTTTTCTTGGAGGCTTGGGATGTAGGAGTTTTGACTTTGTTGTCTTCTGGTTGTATGTTTTGATTTTCTTTGTCACAAAAGTAAGATTCTATAGTGTGAGTTTTTTGTGCTCTTTGCTCACGTTTCCAGCCAATTACTTGAGTTTTTAACTCTTTGTTAAGGTGGGCTCTACTTCTGGTGTAGAGGGCGTATTGTCCCAAGCTTCAGGGGTTTTATGCAGCTGTTTTCAGAGATACTTCTAGGGATTTGTAAATTTTCCATTCTTCCAAGGTAGTATGATCAAAGGAGAGGTGTTTACTCCTTTCCTGGCCTGTGCTATGGTCTATGAGTGACCACAAGCACTCTTTTATGTCTTGGAACTGTGAGGAGGCTTACTTCTCTACCACTGCCACAAGTTCCACCACTCCAGCGCTCCTCCTTGCCCCAAGACCACCACCCGGGACTGCGACCCAGATCCAAGCACAGGCAAAGCAAGAGAATTCCTGCCTCAGCACCAGCAAAGAGATGTATGCAGTCCCCCACTTGATCTCCCCACCACCTGTGGGCCAAGAGCTCTGAAGCAGCCACTGCCATCACTGCCCCAGGGCTTCGCCAGGGCTGGGGCTGGACGATGCTCCTCTCTCACTCAGGTCTGACAGACCTTTCCAAATGACCTTCTAAGTTGAATTTGGAGTTTGTTGCCTAGTACTATATATTCCTTTATAGCATCTTCTCTGGGGCACTTCCAGCAACAAGGGTCTAAAATCTATGGCATTTCCTTGAGCTACTAATCTAGTAACCTTGTCAATAAAGGAGATGCTGCGCGTCTGGTGTGATTTGTTCTCTAGGAACCCATGTTGGCTCCTAGGAGTCACCATTTCCCTTTCTATAGGCTTACAAACAAACTGCTTTTGCCAGAGATGGACATCAAATTCACTAGCCCAAAGTGAAAAGAACTCAACTCTAAAACAAATCTGAATGACCTTTACACAGCTCCATTCCTATAGGTTCTCGCTGGTTCACCAGGATTTCTCAAAGTGGACAGCGTTTCAGCAATCACATACATAAGCTTCTTGGGAAATGTAGTTCATCTAGATGAGATGACTTGAACCAAGGAGGTATGGGTTGGTCCAGAAGACTATGTTGTCCTTTCTGAATTCTGTGGATTCAATGAGCACAGCAAGGTCCTCTCCATACCCTGATCTCACCTTAACCTGAGGCTCAATTTATTTTGGCCTCATTTTCTTTACTATCCTTTTCAGTCTGAGGATGATTTCCTTACTAGAGAAAAAAGAAGCAAAATAGGAACTGGGTAGTTTTGCTTTCTTTCTATTTTCTTTTAATGTCCTATTCACCCCAAGTTTATCCATTCTTTGTTCTTATACATCAAAAAAAAAGATTGTTCTATTGTTGTTATGATTTAGGAATTAGCCATCCTTACAGGACTATGCCAGCTTTTTTACTCTTCCAGGGTTACATGCTCTCAATCCTATTTTAACATGTTCTTTTAAAATTTGGACTCAGCAAAGAAGTTCCTGTGCAGCCATATCTAGAGAGCCATCCTTTTCTTCCCCTCTTCAGAACTACTGGGAAATATTTTGATTCAATGCCTTTTAATTATCAATCTGTGCTATACCTGACCTCTTCCACTGATGTATTCCTCTTATTCTTAATCATAGTGTGGAGAGGACCCTGTTTCTTGAGGCACAAGCTCTACCACATCCTACCAAGCTGAAAAGACCCCAAGTAGGGAACCAGTAATGGACCATAGTAGTCATTCAAGGGAACATGCTGCTAAGTTCAAAGAGAGATGACCACCAGATTAGTTATGACTTTTTTCCAGCCATATCAACTCATGAAGGCAGTCTCCTAAAGCAAAGGTGGGTCAGGATCAGTCTGGAAGGAGTACACATTTGGTGAAATCAGAGATCCTTGAATTAAGTGAATTATTTTAAACTTGCTTTATTGCTATTGCTCAAAAAAAATGCCTTCTAGGAAGACTGGAAGTTGGGCAGAGGCTGTATGTATCTCCCACACACTCCCAAGTAAATCTGAGCTGAGTTAAAAGTCCTGCCCTTTGAGTCAAGCTTTTGAAGTGGGGGGCAAGTCCTTCTGTCTCTGCCACCCATGACATCCATCACCTCACTTGATTTTCACAGCAACCCTGTGAGATTTTAGACAAGGAAAGTGAGGCCCAAGTTTTCTGACTTGGAGGCCACAACTCTACCTCCTAAGTTAGGGTTGGGTTCAGTGAGTCCTAAGGTTCTTTCCAGCTCTAAATTCTATGAAACCTATGACTCAAAGATCCCTAAGGTCCCAGCCATGGCAGTCTGTGGTCCCTGACTGCCCTCTTACTATCCTACCCCTAACATCTACCCCACACATTCAGACCTACCATTGGTGCGCCTCTGTGCCCAATGAAAGTTGGTTTGGGTCCCAGTGTCTTGTTTTCTCGGAGACAGGGAGAATGTATCCCTAGGGGGATGTGTACATAATAAGAAGAACGACCAAGAAGGAAATAACACTGACGAACTGAATGGCTGAAAGAATTTGAAGCAGAGAAGAGAGAGGTTCATTCACTGAGGGCCAGGCCAAGGGGATTCACATCATGAAGTGTTTGTCTCAATATATGCCCCAAAAGTTCCACTCCCTACAATGGCTGGTTGATGTTCAACCACTCCTCCCTCATCCACTTGTTGCCCAAGACCTTCCTCTACCCTCTATCATCAGAGCTCCAAGAAGATCCAGCCACCCCTTAAGTACCACAAATCAAGAGGGTACACCCTATAGGACCCCAGCTTTGGTCCCATGCTCTCTCCTGTGAAGTCAACAGTCAGGCAGGGATGCTGGATGGGAAGAAAAGCCCCCTACCACAGCCAAGGCAGAGCCAAGTGTGACGGTCCTATCCTTCGATATCCTTCCCACCAAGGCTGTCCATTCTGCTTTCTTCATGTTGTCAAAGTTGCCTTAGATATACTTTAACCTGCTGTCACTCGGATACAAATGTGCACATGGGAAGGGCAGGGGGAGAGGCACGTGTATGGAGAGTGCCTCACAATTTGATTTGAGCCATGGACTTAGAATAGACTAGACTCCAAACCCCAGACTCTGCCCCTCATAAGCTCTGTGATCTTGGGTGAGCTTTTGACTTCAAAATGGGGGTGGAAGAGACATCAAAGCATTGTGGGTAGAGAGCTTGTCTGAGCCAGGAAGATCTGGGTTCAGGTCCTGCCTCTGACATACACCATCAGGGCTATGTGACCCTGGGCAAGGCTCTTAATCTCTCAGTGTTCCAGTAATTCTGAGATTATAAAGCTTCGATAAAGAAGGTGTCAGCTAACACTACTACATTAGTAGGGAGTCCTCTTACATGAGAATCTCCTGCATCAATGAAAACACAGGGTCAAGTCTCTATTCCAAAAATGACAATGATAATAAAAAATTATATGTTGAGCACTTCTCTCCATTAAAGTCCTGCTCCAATGTTTCACTGCATCATGGAAGTGATTTGGGGTTCTCAAGGGCTTTGTCAACAAAGTACAAGCTTCCAGCAATATATTATGCCCACACAGACTTAGAAGAGCCTCACTAAGTAGGACAGATTTAACACCAGCAGCTGATTGCCAGAAGGTAAATTCTTGGGCAAATCAATCAATAAACATTAAGTACCTACTATGTGCCAGGCACCATGCTAAGCATTGGGGATATAAAAAGCAGCAAAAGATGGATCACTGCCCTCAAGGAGCTTACAATCTAACGGGAGTCAACATGCAAACAAATATATACAAAGCAAGCAATATATACGTGCAAGAAAACAGGAAATTAACAGAGGAAAGGCCCTGGAATTGAGAGGTTGGAGAAGACTTCCTACAGAAAATAGGATTTTAGTTGGGCTATGGTGACCCACGAAATATATAAAAATACAAAATGGTTCTCATTCCTGTGCTTTCCATCTGTTTCCATCATAATGGCAGCAGAGAAGCCATAAAGGGGGTAGGAGGAGATAAGAATCACAACAGGTTTTAGATCAATTATAAATACTAGCTAAAATGTTGGCACTCTGTGAGATCTTTGTCTGATGACTGCCAAGTTGATATACTACTGGAGGAAATGGACTGCGTCCATATTAACATTCTCACGAAAAATGAAATCAGGAGACCCTAAAAAGTTGCAGCTAGGTGCAAATGATGACTCAAAGGCTGTCCTTAGACATGTGAATAAGGAAGCTGGCAGAGTCGGCTTCCTCATGTGCCCAACGACAAGAAGCATGTCATGGAATGCTGGGCCTCTTTGCTTTGCAGCTAATTCTTTGGACAGGGGTTACCATGAAGATAATGGCACCCTGGGAGCCAACATCTGCTGCTGAAGACAAATAAGCAGGGAAACCGTAGGGAGTGCTTGACAAGATTCGCCAAGGTGGGCATAGAGGACAACAGCCAAAGAAGAGCTAGTCAATATAATCAGAGATCAAGAAATGAAGACAACCAAAGACTGGGAGATTAAGAAAAGAGTCTAAAGGTACTAAATAAGAAAAGTGCTTAATTTTTCACCACAGACAAACACACACACACACACACACACACACACAATGGAACTACTTATACATTCATATGCAGGAAACTAGTTGCTAATATAAAAATCATTTACAAATTAACTGTACAAGGAGTCAAAGGATTGGTTAGAAAAAACAAAGGTAAAAATCAATAATATGCATTACAAAGGAGGTTGGCGGAAGATTATGACGAACCTGGAAAATGGAAAAAAGAATCTTTTTTCATTCCTGATGACAACAGAACCACACACTCAGATGATACCTCAGTAACAGTGAGCTATATGAAAAAATAGGAATGGCACTTAGGAAGAAATCAGGAAAAGCAACTGGGCCAGGCCAAGAACACAATGACGAAATCCAGGCTGGAGGTGGAACAGTTTCTGAAAACATTGAGGGATCAAATTTCAATATATTTTAAGGAAGGAAACATACCAAATGTGTAGGAAAAAAACAAGGATACTATTGTTACCAAAAAAAAAAAGATTAAAATGTCAGTAATTAAAGACACATTAATTAAAGACACACATTCCTATTTTCTCATCTCGATAGTCTTCATGAGAATGATCTATATGCATATGGAGAATAGAATACCCCTGATAAGTCACAGATGCTATTATTACCAAGAAAGAGAAGCGACTAAAGATGCATTCCTATTTCTCATGTCTATAAAGTATGAAAATGATCTATGTACATATGAAGAATAGAATACCCCTGGTAAGAAAAAGAGAAAGGGAAAAAAATGCAGACTTCTGCACATGATTTGGCCTTTTCATAGTCACACAGTTGACTGAAAGGTGTAAAATATATATCGGTATCATTGAATGATTCCTTCTTCCTCCGCTAAAAACGGTCAAACAGAGCCATAATGGTTCTCCTGAAACAAGGAGGCTCTTATTCACATTATGATCATTCAAGATTTTTTGACACATAGAATTTGTCCTGAAATCCTCATGTTGTCAACACAAGGCATCAAATATGGAGGCATATCCTCACCAAACATATTCACCCATGTCATGGAAGACATCCCACATCAAGTCTAAATTAAAGAAGGATTCTCTAAGAATGGTGAAGTCCTGGGTGCAGATAACATGGCAAGACAGCATCAAGCCTCAGAATACTAAAGGACCTTCATGAGGTCCATAGTCATACAAAGGAGATCAGCCTCCCAACATACATAGAAAAAAAAAGTAATGAGAGATATGAGGAGGAGAAAGAACAGGAGGAGAACTAGATTGTGACATGTGGTTAGATGGGCAACTCACTGAGTTAGTCCATAGCTATATACATACATATACAGGGGTGTGCTGGTAAGTGTTTTACAATTTACAGCTCTCTCCCTCCCCCAAAAAAGAGGATGGTGACACACTTTTAAGTTTAATCTTCATTATTTGCATTCTTTCCATCACTTTCTTAAGTTTAGACAAACAATAAATTAAGCCATGATTCATGGCATTTGCCTGTTTTAGAGGTGTAAATGCTCACACAGTAACTTTAACAATTTAAATTGAAATTGCTTTGGGGAGTTGATTTGAGCTGGCTCCAGCATACCCTTAGATATGTCTATGAATATACATGTTTTGAATATGTACCATAGATAATAAAAACAATGGCAGCCCACATTTCTATACTGCCTTAAGTTTTGCAAAGCACAGGGTACATGTTACCTCATTTTGATAGATAAACAATAAACCAGGCCCAGAATTTAATGGGAAAAGAAGACTAGACCAGATTGCACTGGGGAAAATGGTTCAATGTTTTCAAAGATCCCAAGAAATTTCCTGGAATTTAGGTGCCTCAGTGGATAGAGCACCTGGCCTGTAGTCAGGAAGACCCAAGTTCAAATTTAATCTCAAACACTTAGTAGCTAGCTATGCAACCCTGGACAAATTACTTAACCAGATTGCCTCAGTTCCTCATCTGTAAAGTAGGGACAATAACAGCACTTACCTCCCAGAGTTTTTGTGAGGATCAAATGAGGTAATATTTGTAAAGTGCTTAGCACAGTGCCTGGCACGTTCCATCTTTTTTTTCTTCCTTCCCTCCCTCCCATCATTTCAACACCAATGTCCCTCCAGTGATGCTATATGGATGCTATATGCAAAATGCAAGTGATCCAAAAAACAACAGGGAGGCACATGGTAGACGTATATAAAAGCAGCATTAAAAGATATCCTCCCCCATCAGGAAAACATGAGGTTAGAAAATGAAATGAATCGGGTCATATAGCAAGAGGAAAGGGTCATCATATGGACAAGCTGAGGGCTGACTGCCTCAACTATCTCCAGCATGAAGTTGTTCTAAGAATCAAATGAGATGATGTGTGTGACATATTTTGTGGCCACACAGCCTGACAGTAGACCAGCCAATACTGTGCTCTTCTCTGTGGGGATGTCCTTGCCTACAAAGCCTAGGATACTGCAATTCACCAGTAGCATTTTCCCACTTGTAGAACATAGAAAGGCAATGTATGCCTACCAAAGCATTCCAGATGCTCAAATCTCAGAGTCTCAGAGTAGGGAGGGACCTCAGGGGCCACTGGTTTCCACGAGAAGGCCTTTACAACATACCTGATAAGTAGTCAACCAGCCTTTGTCTGAATACCTCCAGAAAAGTAGGAGGCTGTTATCTTCCAAGGCTGCCCACACCATTTCTGGACAGCTCTAATTTCCATGAAGCCCTTCCTGACACCAAACCTCAAATTACCTCTTGACAACTTCCACCCAGGGTCTCTAGTTCTGGCCAGTCAAATGAGATAGTATTTGTAAAGCACTCAGCACTTAGCACAGGGCCTGGCACCCAACAGGCACTTAGTAAGTGCTGGCTTCCTCCCTTGCTTCTTTCCAGAGCCAAGCAGAATAATTTCTAATCCCTCTTCTCCACGATGGCCAGTGCTTCGAGATAGTCGCAGTTCCCATGTCCCCCCACAGGCCTTCTCTTTCGTAGGCTAAATGTCCCCTATTTCTATATGCGATCTTCACGCGGCATGATCTGCACTTATCACTATAGTCCCCTTCCTCTGGCTTGACTCTGATGAGTTTTCCAATTCATCAATGTCTTTCCTAAAACATGGTACACAGAACTCAGAACAATACTCCAAATGTGATGAATCAGAGAAAAGGACCTCCCACGATGTCCCACGTCCATGCTTCTCAGTGTAGCGCAGGATCACATTAAGCTTTTGGGGCTGATATCCCAGCTCGTTATCTAAAGGGCGGCTAGGTGGTGAAAGTCAGGGCCTTAAGTCAAGAAGACTCATCTTTGAGTTCAAATCTGGCCTCAGATACGTACTAGCTATGTGACCCTGGGTAAGTTACTTCACTCTTTTTGCCTCAGTTTCCTCATCTGTAAAATGAGGAAGGAAATGGCAAACCACTCCAGTACCTTTGCCAAGAAAACCCCAGGTGGAGCCATAAAGAGTCAGACATGACTGAAAAATGACTTAATAACAAATGTGAGCTTGAGGTCCCCTAAGACCCCTAAATGTTTTTTAGATAAACTGATCTCTAAGAATACTTCTGCCAACTTGTATTTATAAAGCTGGATTTTTTTAAACTTAAAATTTTACATTTATCCCTATTTAATTAATCTTATTGATTAGGCCTACCTGAGGCACTTGGTTTCTAAGATCCCTTTTCGGTCTAAATCAGTGATGCTAAGATCTTTTCAGATCCTATCATGTACATGAGCTTTCTCTCTCTCCTAGTTTTCTGTTATCTGAAAATCTGATAAACCTGCTATCTATGTCTTCACCCAAGTCAATGGTTAAAAACCTTGGACAGCACAAGGGACAAGGACAGATCCCCGGGGCCCTGCAGGAGAGGTCTCCTTCTGAACTGATATCAAACCATGAACAACTATTTTTTAAATTTATCATCCATTAAATTAGTTCTGAACCCACTTAACTGTACTAACTAGAGTCACTTCTCTCTCTTTTCCACAACTACAGCAAGACACTGTCCAATGCTTGTCTAAAATTCAGGGTAACAATCTTTACAGCAGTGTCCAGATTTACCAGGGCAGGGTTGTCCAAAAAAAAATTTTTTTTAAGGACATAAGGTTAATCTGCGATGACTCAGCCTCCCTTCAGCCATGCATTCTTTGTACTCACTCATGCCCTCACTAACCAATTCCCTCTTATTGGTGGCAATTATAGCCACAAGAGGAGTTCCCTTTGCTGGAAAGGAAATTATTCCAAGTCAAAAGATTTGTAGCTATTGTGTTTTTGGCAAGGTGTCCCAGTCGATGTCCAGAGAGTGTGCCTGGATCTTGTCTCCCAAACTCCTCATCTATTTTCTCTTTCTGGCCAGGTGCCTCATACTATATCTGATGATCCCTTTTGTTACTACCTCTGTTGAACTTTATCCAAATGATCACCACTGTATTTCTCCCTTTCTGGTTTCTTAATTTCTTTACATAAGCATGTCTCCTTAATATCCAGTACTCCTTTTCTCTTGACTTTTACATAAATTGTCAACAAGCATATATTAGACACCCACTATGTGCCAGCCATGTGATGCATTTATTAAGAATCTACTATATGCCAGCCACTGTGCTAAGTGCTGGGGATGAAAAGAAAGGTTAATACATTGTCCCTGCCCTTGAGGAGCTTACAGTCTAACAGGGGCTGATGATGAGAGAGATAACATGCAAAGAACTATGTACAGATGACATCTATACAGGAGATAATGTAATATAAATTAGAGGTCATCTCTATACAGGAGATAATGTAATATAAATTAGAGGTCATCTCAGAGGGAAGGCACTAACACGATGGAACACCTGGAAAGGCTTTTTGCAAAAGGGGATTTAGCTAAGACTTGAAGGAAGCCAGGAGGTAAGTCCGAGACAGGAGAGAATTCAAGGGATGAGGAAAGCCAGTGAAGACGAATGGAGTCAGAAGACAGAATGTCTTCTGTGAGGACCAGCAAGGAAGTCAGTGTCATCGAATCACAGAGAACACGGAGGGGAGTAAGGCATAAAAGACCAGAAAGGTGTGACAGGGCCAGGTTAGGAAGGGCTTCAAGAGCCAAACAGGTGATTTTGTATTTGATCCTGGAGGTAACAGAGAACCATCGGAGTTCAATGAACAGGTGAGGGCCAGGGTCTGAGCTGCACTGCAGAAAGATCACAGTGAGAGCCAAATGGAGAATATAAAGTATACACTTTCAGAGCCATGTTCTAATTATAAGGTCAAATTTCTCAGTGCATTAGGATCTTTACTTCCCCGTTCCCCCCCCTTTTTGCGCTTGAGATCAGTCAACCAAGGCAATGAGCTTTATTTGGTACACTCTTCTCTGTTTCTTTCTCTGCATTTCTAAGTGATTTTGGTGTAGCAGAGTGAGCAGTGGACTGGAAGTCAGGGAGATCTGAGTTCAAATCCAGCCTCAGACACTTACTAGCTGTGTTACCCTGGACAAGTCACTTAACTTCTGTCTAGCTGTGTTTCCTCATCTATAAAATGTGGACGATAATAGCACCTATCTCTCATGGTTGTGGTGAGAATTAAATGAGATATTTTAAATAAAAAGTGTTCTGCAAACCTCAAATGCTAGCTATTAGAATTACAATATAGTTACTTTTTATGGTACATAATGTAGTATGATGTGATACATGGGCCATTTTACACACACACACACACACACACACACACACACACACACACACACATCCCACCCATTACAGTTCGAAGACCTTTGAATAGATTTGCCAGACTCCAGGCAAATTCATTTGTACCAGCACTTTGAGAAGTGTCCATCCCATATGAAGAGCCCATCATTCCTATATTTTAAATAGGTCTAGAAACCTGAACCCTCTTCTCAAGTCTCATCTTCTTACCCAGCTGTTCACTTCCCAAACCTGCAACTTCTCTTCTAAAGCCCTCGCCTTGCGTGGTGGCAGTCATGAGCCACATGTGTGCCCCTAAGAGGGTTTGTGCTTTCTAAGAGGCCTTCTAGATTAATCTGCAGACCCTGGGAATCACCAGAAGTGAGTAGTGGGCATCAGATTTGGTAAGTCTTAGGAGGTTTCCCAGGATGTCATGGACCCATGCTCCAGGGGAAACAGCAGTCCTCTCAGTTGGGGTAATCAGGTCAACAAACAACTGCCTCAGTATCCCCAGCAGGTAGTCAGTGACCATGGTTACTCATCTTTCTCTTGCCCTTACTGGATGATCTTACTAGACAGTACCTTAATTTACTAGTAATGAGTTAAGCTCACTAGACTCTTTTTTGAAGACTCTATCCTTCTGGCCATGTTCCTGCTCTGTCCTAGAGTTTCCAAGGAATAGCTCCTTCCCTAGGACTGCTGCCCAGGATTCCAAGGCAGAGGACTGGAATTCCACCCTCCCTCCACAGATCAGCAGCTCTCCTTGGACACATGGGACAGCTATCTGTATCAGCAGTGACCTCCTTCTGTGCCAGAGGCAGGCTGCTTAACACTGACACCTGTTTCCTTTAACATTTCCACAGATGGCATTATTCCAGTTGCCCCTCTCTGGATCCACTCCAAGTTTGTCAAGGACCCTCTTAAAAACATCCTAGAAGCTGACACAAAATTCTATATGGAGTCTGGACAAAGTGGAGTATGGAGAGAGTTGGTTCTCATACTTGGCCCCATATTGCTTTTAATTCCTGCAGTTTAAGGTATCTAGCTGCCTTATCACCCACATGGACTCACCCTGAGTTTGTGGTCACTTTTTTTTTATTTGTAAAAGTCACATATGGCATGCTCCTTGAGAGCAGGGACTGTCTTTTGCCTCTTTTTATATTCCCAAAGCTTAGCACAGTGCCTGGCACATAGCAGGCACTTAATAAATGCTTATTGACAGCCTGGCTGCTGTCTAGCCATGACTTCCCCATTGGGTATTTGTAAAGCTGATTTTTTTCTAACTTAAGCATAAGACTTTCATTTATTGCTATTGATGTCATTTCAGTAGATTCAGTTCACTGCTCTAAGATCTTTGTGGATTCTCTCATTCAGTGCATTAGTTTTTCCCTCACAGCCTTGTGTCATCCAAAAAATTTGATTAGCAGATCTTGGGGTATGCCTTTGTCCTCTGCCTCACTTGCAGGAGTTTGCCCCACTTGCTTGATTTCATTATCTCCCATATACTTAAATCTATTGCACCAACCCTTACCTCTAATTTTCATTATTTTCCTAGACTTTTCATAGGCTTCTTTCTGACCTTTGGGCTCCACCTCCATAAGAGCTAAAGCTTGACAAAAAGAGAAAATAGGACCATCATAAGTTTATTAGCATCTCTTCTGCGGCTACCCTATCCTGATAAGATCTTCCCTCTGTTGTACACGGGCATCACTATCCTCCCCAGACTACAAGAACAATAAAGGAGTTTTTCTAGAGGACCTCCAGGGTCCTTCCCAGGTCCAAATACATGATCCTATAATTGCAGCTATGACTTACCAAATAGTTATCTTTCTCTTTGGCTCTGGCATAACTGCTCATTATCAGATGGGACCTCCCAGGGAACATCCACTCTATTCAGATTACAGAATTAACTCAGAAGGCCCTATCAATGAAACTGCCTCTACTCTGGAAACAGAATACAACCATACTTGGGCCCATCATCACCCTTGAGGAGTTCAATGAGGGCTGGTGCCCTGGCAAACTGGGCAAGGGGTTAAGAATAAATCAAATGCAAAGCCACTCCTTTGTCCTAACTTAGAGGCAGCTGACATTGGAATCCACAATCCTTTAGCAACATATAAACAACACAGCCCAATACCTAGTTAGCAGGGGACAATGGCTAGGTTCTAGATCAGTGATTGCATTGCTAGAAAAGTGCCTCTACCTATCCACATTGGCAGCATTTTAGAGTCTTAAAGAGATGTCCAGAGCTAAGAATGAGAGGTTAAGCGTGTATCAAGTATGTGTCAAGAGGCTTGGATTTGGAAGGCAGTTCTTCCTGTCTCCAAAGGCTAGCTCTCTATCCATATCTTCCTACCTCTCAGTAAGAATGATAGTGGGATGGTATTAACTCCTCCCCTACCTCAATCCCCTATATTACACAATGTCCTCTTGAGCAGAGGGTAATATTTGCTCCAAACACACTTTGAAGTAGTTGGCAAAAGTGTTAATATCTCCATTTATAACTCTGATCAAGAATCTTCCTGAGCCTTCCTCCTTTGGCAAAGTCTCTAAGGGCCCCCATGACCTGTATGTATTCCTCCTTACCACCCAACCTCCAGTTACACCAATCCAATAAACTCCAGGTTTATGCAACCTGGCCTACCTGTTTTATTCAGCTTGGCAAAATAGAGGGCTATGGGCCATGAAAAAACCACCATCATGCATATGCCAAAGAGATGTACGTAGGGAGCAGTCATCTGCCAAGAAAGTTGGAATATTTGGCTGAGATCAGCTTCTAAGGGACACACAACCATGACCCTTTAGGGTGTGCTTACCTGTAGTGATACCTCAGCAGCTTTCCATTTTTCCTCATAAAATAAGCTTACGGACAGAAAAGCAAGGATGCATATGCTCAAGACCAACAGAGCGCCAATCTGCAGGACAAACACCTCACATTGGAAGCATGCTCAGGGTGCAATGACCACCCCCCAAGGTTCACAGAACCCCACCCACGTCACTACAGGATCAGGAAGAATGGAGAGTCCAGTGACTCAGGATGACACTGGAGGTGCGGGAGCTGAGAGAAAGGGGTGGCATAGTGAGATGCAGTCAAAACGCAGAGGCTCATCTTCATACAATAAGGGTATAAAACTACACACACTCACAAAGCCCACCAAGGCAATCCCAAATTGCCTGGTGACAATCATCACCATCAACAAGAATTTATAAAGCAACTACTATGTGCCAGGCACTGTGCTAAGTGCTGGCATACAAAGAAAGGCAAACAAATAACAACATAGCTCCCCGCTCTCAAAGAGTTCACAGTTTAGTGGGAGAGATGATATACAAATCATTATGTATATGCAAGGTATGGATGGATGGATGGATGGATGGATGGATGGATGGATGGATGGATGCATGAATGGACAGACGGATGGATGGATGGATGGATGGATGCATGAATGGACAGACGGATGGATGGATGGATGGATGGATGGATGGATGGATGGATGGATGGATGACAAACTGGAGATCATCTCACAGAACCACTGGACTTTACTGACTATGGGATGACATGGTCACACTGAGCTGAAGGTCAATCACTTTGGCACTGTCGGTTCTCACACACCTCCGTAACCTCCCTTTCTCTTCTCCTCCATTGTCTTAGATGTTTACTTGAACCAGATTTTACTCTTCTGTAATGCTGTGGAAGGGCAGCTAAGTGGCACAGTGGATAGAGTATGGGACCTAGATTCAGGAAGACTTGTCTTCATGAGTTCAAATCCCGCCTCAGATACTTACTAATCACGTGACATTGGACAAGTCCCTTATCCCTTTTTGCCTTAGTTCCTTCATCTGTAAAATGAACTGAAGAAGGAAATGGCAGACTACTCCAGTATCTTTGCCAAGAAAATCCGAAATGGGGACACAAAAAGTCAGACATGTCTGAAACAACTGAACAACATACTGCTACAGAGGAAGAAGACACCATGTGATTTGCTTCTGAGTCCCATATTCCTGAGGGGTTCACACTAGCTGGGATCATATCCCAGGATACAGACCCCAAGTTCCTCATAATGTTCAGAATGGGATGACCACACAGCCAGATGGGGGAAAATGACACTATTAATCATCAGATGGATTCCAGAGGACACACAAGGATATCATCCATCCTTCCACACCCTTTTTCCTGTTAGGTTCACAGAGCCTAAGGGGCCCCACTAGCCAACTGTTCTTTAAATAGTCCAATTCAAGAAGCATTTGCTAAGCCCTACTATGTGCAAGGCTAGGTGGTGGGAACACAAAGACAAATACAAAAACATTCCTTGCTCTCAAGTAACTTACATTCTATTGGGGAAAAAAAAAACAATACATACACAGAAAAATAAAAGGTAATTTGGAGAGTAGTACTAATAACCTTGGGGATCATAAAAAAAGGCCTCATGTTCTTGAGATATCCCTGGAACTGAGTCCTAAGGGTAACTAGGGATTCTAAGAGGCAGAAGTAAAGAGGAAGGGCATTCCAAACTTATGAAGCAGCCTGTGCAGAAGCAGATGAGAACTAGAATGTCAAGTACAAGAAAACAACAAGTATAGCACCTCAGCTACAACAAAGAATGGGCCAAGGAGAGTGATGGGAAGGTGGGATCGAGTCAGATCAGATTGTAGAAGTCCAGCTGAAAAGAAGGCCAGGAAATGTATAGTTTACCCTGGAGAGAATAAGCAGCTGCCAGCTGATGTAGTACTCTACCTGGGCCAAGGAGTATGACACAGTTTTATGACTTTGGGGGCACAGTTCCAAATGGCTGGACCCATAGGCCAATAGTGAGCCTGTTTTCCTTTTTTGTCTTCTCTGCCAATCCGATGAGCTGAGGGTGGAACCTCAAAGTGCTTTAGTTTTCACTCTTCTTAATTAGTGACTTAGAACATCTTTCACATGGTTGCTGATGATTTGGATTTCTTCCTTTGGAAACTGCCTATTCAGATCATTTGACCATTTATCTATTGGGAAAATTCTGTTCCTTTAAATAAATTATTCCCTTCCAGAGTGATATTCTAATTACAAATTCAAACCCAGAAAATCTTGGTGATGCTGTTAAGGCCAAATTTACTTATTCACATGAGGATCTGTAGTTTATATTGCTTGTCATGTATACATTACTACATTTGTATATAAACATTTCAGGTTGTGGGTTTTGATTCTGTCTCTTGTGAGTTCCTGGACATCTCTACAGTGGTATTCTTCCTTTTGCTATAGCTGTTGTCTCTCTGATATCTTGCCTCAATGAATATCTATCTATCTATGTGTGTGTGTGTGTGTGTGTGTGTGTGTGTGTGTGTATCTATATATCTATATCTATCTATATATATATATGGTATGTATGTATGTGTGTATAAATGTGTGTACACACATATACATATACATATACATATATATGTATACATTCGTGTATAGCTACATGCATACATATACACATGCTTTTTTTGGGGGGGGTTGCTTTTTCTTTGCAGACTCGAAAATTCTGCAGGCTAATACGTCAACCCAAGTAGGATGGAAAATGCTCAAGAATAACATTCTGAAGATACAAACAGAAATAATGTGTAATCTTACAGCACACTCTTAGAGGGTTGGTACTAGCAGTTGGGAGAACTGGAAGAGGACTCTTGCAGAAGATGAAATCTGAGCTAGGTCTTGAAGGAAGCCAGGAGGCAGAAGTGAGGATGGAAAGCATTTGAGGTATGGGAGACAGCCAGCAAAGTAAAAATTAACCTCTCTGCAGGCAGAGGACTGTCTCTTGAGGACAGGGAGTTATAATAAAGCTAATCCTCTTCTGCACAACAATCATTTTTTTGAAACAGTTCATGCCCCTAGTCTGCTCTTACCTTATCTAAATACACCCAGTTCCTTCAATGCTAGGAGAGCATCTAAAAATTGGTAATTAGATTCTAATTGCTTTAAATGACTTCCAGACTCCAGGGCTAGATAAAATAGAAATCATGAAAGAATTTGCAGATGTGACGAAGTGATCACTGTTCAGAAGCTTTGAGAAAAACACAAGAGAACAAGAGAGGAGCCAAAAAGGACGGAAAGCTATATCCCAGGAACTACACATGTCTACGCTTTCTTATTGTTCAACATGTTTCATGGGCACTTTAAAAATAATTATTAATAATCAACATAGGTTCACAATAAAAGGTCCTTTTTTGACAATAGTTATTAGATTGGCCAATCAAGAAATATCGTAGGCATAAATCATCTTGATTGCATTAATGCACTTAAAGTGTCTTACGATATTTTTTTGGACAAGATTGAGATGTGGGCTAGGTGAGTGTTAAGTAGATATAGATAACTGAACAGAATACTCAAAATTCTAATTAAAGGATCAGTGCCTACTGTATGGCAAAACTGATATGGTGCTGGAGGGTACCATGCTGCTGTGGGAAACAGGCAGCTTGGTCCTGCTAGTCAATCTGGGCAGCAAAGCAAAGAATCAACGTCATTTTTTTAAAAAATACAAATGTCAACAACATATTAAATCCAACTCAACCTACCCCCCAACCTGCCCCCACCTCCACTCCATTAATCTCTGCAGGCAAATATCGCTCTTGTCCTTTCCCCAGGTGCTATTTTTGCATCCTTCTTCCCAAGACTTTGTAGGAAAGGATGGGGAAGGCATACATGTGACCTGTCCCTGACCCTAGGGAAAGTCAGGTTAGAAAGCTTTCATATGTCCTACCTTATTGCACCAATGCAGGTATAGCTGCTGCCCTTTTGCAAGCAAACAGATCCCTGTGATCTGCAAAGACAAATGGAAAAGATGATGGTTGGGTTCTGAAAGTCATTAAAACTAGCACTGGATCTAAGACCTTTGTTTTGGTTAGTCATCTGATAACAGTCCCCTCTTTCTACCAGAGTTTCTTAGCCTGGGGTCTGCGAGCTTTATATATATGTGCATATACATATGCACACACACACATATGCACACAAACATATATACATTTATATGTATGTATATAGATACATATATGTGTATATACAAACATATATGCATACATATGCATAAGTATATATATTTTTATGACTGTATTTCAAGATAACTGGTTTCCTTTAAAATCCAATGCATTTTATGAACATTATTTTGAAGTCTCTAGGCTTCAGTCAGACTGCCAAATGCATCTATGTCACACAAAAAATTAAGAATCCCTGCTCTGATCTATCTAAACTCCCACTGTTTTGTTCTTCAGCCTAGCTCAGATTCCTCAATTTTATGTTTAATTGTTATTCTTTTTTTTCTCTCACCCAGGTAAGAGTGAGATTCAGAATCCTCTCTACCCTCTTCTTCATCTCATCTCTTGGTTTAAAAAACATTAATCTGTGACAGTCTTTTCCAAGAAAGATCAGTTCATCCCCTTCCTCATTTTTTTTTCAGCCAAAGACAAGGTTTATTAGAGCATCTGTCATATTGGGCAGACTCTTAAGGAGGCTGAATGTTAGTAAGCTATTGGCTAGATTTTAAGAATCTGAGCCCCCTTCCTCACTTCTTAACCCTTGTAGAACAGATACATAGATATGATAGGTAGATAAATAAAGCACTGATTACGCATCACTGTGTCCTGGGTACTGCAGATGCCCCAGAATCTCTTTCTACAAGGGATTCAAAAAGCTGTTCTCTATGACCTTAATACAAAAGTAAGGCAAATGAGAGGAAGCTAGGTAGCCTAGTGGACAGGGCACTGGTCCTGGAGTAAGGAAGCTGCTGTTGTTCAGCTTCGTGACCTCCATTTGGGGTTTTCTTAGCAAAAATACTGGAGTAGTTTCCCATTGCCTTCTCCATGGAGTTAGGAAGACCTGGATTCAAATATCTGCCTCTAACACTTAACTAGTTGTATGATGCTAGGCAAGTCATTTAACCTGTCTACGTCAATTTCCTCAACTGTAAGATGGGGGTGATAATAGCACTTACCTCCCAGGTTTGTTGCAAGGATCAAATGAGCTATCTGCAAAGTGGTTTCTTAACCTTAAAGTGCTATATAAATGGCCACACATTGTAACATTATTAGGACATAAATGTTTTTAAATACAAATATTATGTTAAACAACAAATAATGTTATCATCATTAAGGCTTCTGCAAGAAAATAGGCTTTCTTCCTTTTCCTAGCCCAGCTAATAGTATGAATCCAAACTCCCTTTAAACACACTCCTCTCTTCCCATTTTCCTGAAGACAATGAATTCTACCCCTTCCTCCCTTTACTCAATCACTAGGACAATTTATATGCTCTTTCATTGATTTTGCCTATCAATGTTCTCTCTTGGTTCTTTATTTTTTTCTTCAGTTTTTCAAAGGGTCATTTATTTTCCATCTTATCCTTAATTCCAGATTCATATGCACAGCTTTCACTAACTTTTTTAAAAAAAATTTAGATTTATTTTTAGTTTTCAACATTCACTTCCATAAAATTTTGAGTACCAAATTTTCTCCCCATCTCCCCCCTCCCTCCACCCAAAGACAGCGTGCATTCTGAATACCCCTTCCCCTGATATGCCCTCCCTTCCAATACCCCCTCTTCTCTTATCCTCTTCCCCTTCTATTTTCCTGTAGGGTAAGATAGATTTCTATACCCCATTGCCTGCATATCTTATTTCCCAGTTGCATGTGAAAGCAATCTTTAACATTTCTTTTTAAAACTTTGGGTTCCAAATTCTTTCCCATCCTCCCTCCCCACCCACCCTCCTTGAGAAGGCAAGCAATTTGATACAGGTTATACATGTGTAGTCATGCAAATACTTCCATAATAGCCATATTGTGAAAAACTATATTTCCCTTCATCCTATCCCGCCCGCCATTCATTCCATTCTCTCCTTTGACTCTGACCTTTCTCAAAAGTGTTTGCTTCTGATTATCCCCTCCCTCAATCTGCCCTCCCTTCTATCATCCTCCCCTCTCTTATGCCCTTTCCCCCTATTTCCCCATAGGGTAAGACATATTTCCATACCCAATTAAGTGTATATGTTATTCCCTCCTTAAGCCAAATCTGATGAGAGTAGGATTCATTCATTTCCTCTGACCTCCTCCCTCTTCTACTCCATGGTAAAAGCTTTTTCTTCCCCTCTTTTATGTGAGATAATTTACCCCATTCTATCTCTCCTATTCTCCTTCTCCCAGTAAAATCCTCTCTCACCCCTTGATTTTATTTTTTAGATATCATCCCTTCATATTCAGCTCATTCTGTGACCTTTGTCTATATATATTCCCTCCAACTACCCTAATACTGAGAAAGGTCCCATAAGTTACAAATACCATCTTTCCATTTAGGAATGTAAACACTTCAACTTTAATAAGTCCCTTATGATTTCTCTTTCCTGTTTACCTTTTCATGCTTCTCTTGAGTCTTGTATTTGAAAGTCAAATTTTCTATTCAGCTCTGGTCTTTTCATCAAGAATGCTTGAAAATCCTCTATTTCATTGAATATCCATTTTTCCCCTGAAGGATTATACTCAGTTTCCTAAGTGGGTGATTCTTGGTTTTAATCCTAGCTCCTTTGAGCTCTGGAATATAATATTCTAAGCCCTCCAATCCTTTAATGTAGAAGGTGCTAAATCTTGTGTTATCCTGATTGTGTTTCCATAATACTTATATTGTTCCTTTCTGGCTGCTTACAATATTTTCTCCTTGACCTGGGAACTCTGGAATGGTGGCTACAATATTCCTAAGGGTTTTCTTTTGCGGATCTCTTTCAAGAAGTGATCAGTGGGTTCTTTCAATTTCTATTTAACCCTCTGGTTCTAGAATATCAGGGCAGTTTTCCTTGATAATTTCTTGAAAGATGATGTCTAGGCTCTTTTTTTGATCATGGCTTTCAGGTGGTCTGATAATTTTAAATTATCTGTCCTGGATCTATTTTCCAGGTTAGTTGTTTTTCCAGTGAAATATTTCCCATTGTCTTCTATTTTTTTCATTCTTTTGGTTTTGCTTTATAATTTCTTGATTTCTGATGAAATCATTAGCTTCCATTTGCTCCATTCTAATTTTTAAGAAAGTATTTTCTTCAGGGAGCTTTTGGACTTCTTCCATTTGGTCAAGTCTGCTTTTTAAGGTATTCTTCTTCTCATTGGCCTTTTGGACCTCTTTTGCCATTTGGGTTAGGCTATTTTTAAGGTGTTATTTTCTTCAGTATTTTTTTGGGGTCTCCTTTGGCAAGCTGCTGGCTTATTTTTCATGATTTTCTTGCATCACTCTCATTTCTTTTCCCAGTTTTCCCCCTACTTCTCTTACCAGCTTTCCAAAATGCTTTTTGAGCTCTTCTATGGCCTGGGATCAATTCATATTTTTCTTGGAGGCTTTGGATATAGGAGCTTCGACTTTGTTGTCTTCTTCTGGTTGTATGCTTTGATCTTCTTTGTCACCAAAGTAAGATTCTATGGTCTGACTTTTTTGTGCTGTTTGCTCATGTTCCAAACCAATTACTTAACTTTTAAACTCCTTGTTAAAGTAAGGGTCTGCTTCCAGTGTTTAAGGTGTATCATCCCAAGCTTCAAGGGTTTTGTGCAACTGTTTTCAGAGATACTTCTAAGGACCTGTACATTTTCAGTTCTTCCAAGGTGATATGATCAAAGGTGGGGTATTTATTCCTTTCCCCGGCCTGTGCTCTGGTCTATGAGTGACCACAAGCACCCTTTTCTACCTTTGAAATGTGAAGAGGATTCCCTTCCCACAACCGTCTACCACGTCAATGCTCCTCCTTGCCCCAATACCACCACCCAGGACTGCGACTCAGATCCAAGCACAGGGAAAGCAAGAGACTCCTGCCTCAGCACCAGCAAAGAGATCCCTGCAATCCCCCTCTGATCAGGCACTCGATTCCCCCTCCATCTGTGGGCTGAGAGCTCCAGAAGCAGCCACTGCCCAGTGGTTGCACCAGTACTGGGTCTGAACCACGTTCCTCCCTCACTCAGGTCTGACAAACCTTTCCTACTGAACTTCTTTGGCATTTGTGTGTTGAGAAGTCTGGAAACTACTACAACTGCTAGTGATTCAATCCCCTGAGGCCTGCTCAGGTTTGCTGGGCCTGGTCTGTGCCTTGGCGGCCCATGCTAAACTGCGCTCCCTCCTAGCCCAGTGCAATAGACCTTTCCCATCAACCATCCAGGTTGTCCTGGGCTGGAAATTTGTTTAACTCCGTATTTTTGTGGGTTTTGCTACTCCAGAATTTTTTTAGAGCCATTTTTACAAGTTCTTGGGAGGGGTTTTAGGGAGAACTTAAGCAAGTCACTGCTTTTACTCCACCTTCTTGGCTCCATCCCTCTCTTGGTTCTTTAAATGACCCTCAAACAAGGTGAGATTTCCAATGGGAAATTAATTTGTCTCCTTTACTTATTTTCCCCAAGTGAGTATGTTTGTGTATGCCTCCTATTTCTTCCCTATCTCCCCATGTCTTTGAATGGATCATCATCTGTGATACCACTTCTGATACACTTTTCAGTCAGAAACAAACAAATGTAACTGGAAGAGGAACAAAGATGGAAGGAATTCAATCTTCCTTCCATCTCTTTTCCTAATTTGTTTGTTTTTACCTGATAATGGCTTTTTCATTCTCACTGATCTTTAGTCAAAGTAAGGATTTTAAAAATTCACTATCTTTGTTTAGTCCTTGAAGTATATAAAGGTTGATTTCTTTTTTTTTTTTTTTGCTTGACATCTTTTCATGCTCTATGGACTTGTTTACCTTCTCTAAGTTTCTTCTCTTTGATATATTTCATATCTGCTACTCACTTCTGGCTTTTTCCCAGCAGGAATTAGAGATTTTTCCTTTTGTTGGAAATCTACTTTTTTTCACTGATAGTTTAAGCTTTACATTGAAGGACAATATTATTTCAGGATTCAGGTAATTCTGCTTTTCAGAATAGCCTGTTCCAATTTTTACTTTCATTTCTCTTGGACAAGGAATAGCCTTCTGCAATTCTGATTTTCTACGTTATATGAAAGACTTTCTTGTGGATGCATGCAATATTTGGTATTTAAAGGTCTGCAACTTGATCACAATGTTTTGACATGACTTGGACTTGGGAGGGTCTCTGTTTACATTCTGTTAATTCTATTGATCCATTCAGTTTTCAATACATCTGGTCAATTTTCTCATATGCTTTTATTAAATGTTATTTCAGGTTTTTTTGTTTCATCATATATTTTTGGAAGACAAATAATTCTCAGATTTTCTTGTTGCATTCTATCTTCAAGACCAGTTATTTTGCCTTGTAGGGGGAGTTCAGGTGTTCTCCCCATCCCACTGTCTTTGAATTTTGTTCCAATATATGTTTTTCCTCTTTTGCATCTCTGAGTTCCAGGCATGCTGCCATCTTTTCCCCATCAATTTATAGAAATTCTCCATTTTTTGTTTTAAGTATTTCATTTTCATTTGTTTTTTTTATTCTTGTTTGAAAACTCTAATTTCTCTTGTAGTTTCTATCCTTATTTTTACCTTTGATTTTTGTTTTCATCTTCTAACCACTCTTGAGGATCCTGCTGTGGTCCCATTATCATTTCTGGAGGTCTCTTTTTTTCCTGGGGTTTTCACACTCCTTTTCCATAGTATTTGCTTACTGTACTAGATCCTCTTTTTTTAACTTGTTGTTTACTTGTTTACCTCTTCTACCATTTCTACTGGTTTTTCTGTAAGGTTTTCCTAGGGATGAATGCTCTACTCTCCTCTATTATTTGTTATTCTTTTACTCTCTTTAGCACACCTTGATATTTTGAGGTGATAGAGGGGAGCAGGAATTAGACACTCATCTCACTCAGTTATCTTGCTGCCAAGTCTATAGTTTATTTTTTTTAACTTATTCAGTGAATGAGATAAAAGAACCTGTTTCATTCAAAAGAAACTAGGCTTGGGAGTAGGGGAGGAAAGTCATTGGTTGGGCCCTTTACTAAGACATTTTGAATGATTTTGTGCCTACAAAACATCTTTAAAAAACAAACATGATTTAAAAAAATTAAAAGAAATTGATGAGTGAGGCCTTGGGGATGTGTGGTGTGGTAAAGGAGGTTACTAAAAATGTAATGCCTCCAATAAGGTGATAATGCCTTATATTTACATGACACTTCGCACTTTTGTTTTTAAAATGGTGTCATATGTTACTAACAATCTGTGAACAACTAGGGTTTGACAGATGGGAAAACTGAGACCCAGAAATGATTCATACAATCCATATAGAGAGTCATTGACAGCATGGGGGAAAGAATTTAAGTCTTCTGATTCTGAGGCCTATGCTCCGACCTTTCCAGGCTTCTTACACCTGACATCCCCAACATATACTCTTTGATCCAGCGACACTGGCCTCCTGGCTGTTCTATGACCAAGACATCCACTTTCTCTGGCTCTTCCCCATGTCTGAAATGCTTTCCTTCTTCTGTTCCAACTACAGATCTCCTTAGTTTCCTAAGTCACAACTAAAATCTCACCTTCTATAGGAAGCCTTCCCCAATACTTTTTAATTCTAGTACCTTCCTCCTTTACATTATTTCCCATTTATCCTGTAAAGAGCTTGTCTGTACGTATTTATTTGTTTGTTGTTTTCCCCATTAGATTCTGAGCTCCTTGCAGGGAGGGATTGTCTTTTGCCTCTTTCTGTACTTGCAATTCTTAACACAGTGCCTGGCACATAGTAGGCACTTAGTGTTTATTGACTGACTGAATTACTGCTCCTCCCACTACACTATGACCAACCAGTTATCTGCAATGATCTTAGGTGGGAATAGGGCAGTAATGTCATCAAATTCTCTCAAAGTTCTTGATGGTACTCACTTTAATTTTTAAAAAAAGAATAGAACCCCATTTGCAATGATAATGGGGTCTAGAATAAACCCTCAACTGAAAAACTACATTTGTTCATCTCTGGTGCCTATTTTATGGCATGCTCATGCTTTGAGGAATATGATTTGAACGATGTTTAGGTCCAAAATCTACACAAGATTGTTCCACGTTACAAAAGATTCTTCTGCAAAGGTCACAGATCATTTTTGTAACAAGACTGGGAAATGATGAACTCACGTAAAGGACCAAAGCCAGCCTTATTTATAGCTATAGATGGCTGCCTACATAGTATAATCTGGGAATACCACAAAATCTTATCTGATTCTAGACATCTTCATCATTGATCTGCCTTAATGAGTCCACTTCTTAATTATTTTCACAGTAAAATTGATGTTGTCTCTGGAAGCTACTAGTTAAAATGTACATGTTGTTTAGAAAGGAAATCTTTGGAAGAAGGACTGTCCCTTTCAGCCTTTTATCCCATGAGCTCATAATAACTGTCACCACAGAAGGCAGAAAGAGCCTGATTCCAAAGGAATAAAAGAGAACAAAGAAGTTTCGACAACTTCAGATAAGGGGAGAGGAGAAAAGCAACAATCACTGGGTGGCTAAGAAGCAGTGTTGGGTGGCAATCAGAGAGGGAAGTCCATCCTCCTAATGATGGGAATGGGCTTAGAAGAAGAATGCTGAAAGCATTCTTCAATTTCTCCAGGCTTCAATTTTTCCCTCCGTGAGGAGGTAAAATTATGTCTCTAAGATCCCCACCAACTCTAAATGCTTCGATTCCATGTTTTATGAAGCTAAAATAGGGTTGAACTGGCAAGGTATGAAAGTGCTGGTTATTTTCTTGGGGGATCATGTGTCTGCAAACTCATCTCACTGCTCCTGGGGTATAGATAATAAAAATCATAGGGACTTAGGAGAGAAATCAAAAATGTCTTTAGAGGATAAAAGACACACTCATGCAAGTCACAATTTTGCCTCTAGCTGGTCCATCATATGATAAGGTGTTGCCTAAGGAAGATAGCATCCCAGAGTTTGGGGAGACCCAAGAGAATTTTAGTTTAAACAGGCCTGTTAAGAGAGCTACAGGGGGCTCCCAAGGGCTTCTGCCTATGGACAGCTGGTGTCCATTGGTAGCCATCACCCCCAGGGGGACTACTGGTCTCCCAGTCCCAAGTACCACAAGGGTTAAGTCGGAGGGAGCTTACTCACCATGAGGAACATGACGTAACTGGCCATGACTGAGGCTGAAATCACCAGAAAGAAGGACCAGTAAAACCAATGTTTTGTGAACTGGTAAATGTACCTGAAAAACAGCAAGGCATTGCACTATCTAAAACATGCTAAGAATGAGTATTGCCTATATGGGGGAGAGGGAGACCAGTCTGGCTGCAGCAAAGGGAAAGTTTATGCAGAGGCTAGAGGGAACATTGGAAAATTAACATGGAAATCTGACTGTGAATGGCCTTGAGAGATCTTCAAATTCCTTAAATCTCAAAACTCACTCCCCTTCTCTCTTCCCCTCCTGTTTCCTTCAGGCTAAGGTTGACCCCTTCACTTGTACCCTTGATCCTATCACTCTGAGCTTCTCCAAGACCTCGCTCTATCAATCATTTCCCCAATTTCTTCTTCATTGTCAGTGGTTCTTTCCTTAGCCCCCTTCCCATTTTCCATAAATATCCTCAGGTGTCTCCTAACCTAAAGGACTTTTTTCCCCTTGACATTCTCTAGTTATTATCCTCTCTTCTCCAATAAACTTTTAGAAAAATTAACATGATTGCTTTCTCATTGGAGTAAGGGAGGAGGTTGCAGGGAGGGATAGAATTTGGAATTCCAAATGTTTAAAAACTTAATGCTAATAAGTAGATCAGTGGGAAAGAAAGGGGAGAGAGAGAGAGAGAGAGAGAGAGAGAGAGAGAGAGAGAGAGAGAGAGAGAGAGAGAGAGAGAGAGAAGGAAAGGAAAGGAAAGGAAAGGAAAGGAAAGGAAAGGAAAGGAAAGGAAAGGAAAGGAAAGGAAAGGAAAGGAAAGGAAAGGAAAGGAAAGGAAAGGAAAGGAAAGGAAAGGAAAGGAAAGGAAAGGAAAGGAAAGGAAAGGAAAGGAAAGGAAAGGAAAGGAAAGGAAAGGAAAGGAAAGGAAAAAACACAAATTGTGGGGGGGAGGAAATTTGCAACAGTTCAGAGGAAGCAAAGGTAGGATCTAGGGAAGCATACAGTGACTAAGGCCTCCTTTGGGCTGCAAGACTTAAGCACTAGTGTTATGAAGCTTTCTGCTCCTGTCCAGATATAGGCTTGGAAGCAACTACACCTTCTTTTGGCCCTCACACCTTTGGAATGTGGGTATCACTGGGCAGATTCAGCCATACCTTTTCTCTTCTCACAAGACAATTCCTACTCCTTAGCCATTATCCTCAAATCCTTCCTACACTGAGATGGGGGAAAGAGAGGGATGGGGGGGAAAGCAAGTGAGGCAACATGGCTTAATAGCACAACCTTGTCCCAGCCAGCAAAATAATGCTATACCTTCTTTTTGGATGAGGGAAAGTGAAAACTCTGGATTTGGTTTAGCTCTGACTTTTGGAACATTTATCCAAAATTGATAAACCACAAAATTCTTTTCTCAATCAGCTTATGACTACAGCTAGGATATATACATACATACATATACATATATATAACATACACACATATATATATGTAGGTGTGTATACACACACGTACATATACAAATATATTTTCAGGCTAGGAAGGAAGTGATGTGGAGTACGCTTCAGACTCCATCAGGGCAGTAGGTCTGTGTCTACCAAGATCAGAGGGCAGAGCTACAACCAAGTGTGGGGCATGTCTAACTATTGGTAGATTTTCCCTTGGTGAATTATCTCTTGTCTCCCTCCTTTCCCCACTACCTTTCTGCCTCCAAATAGAAATGCTTCATTCTAGTTTTCTGTCCTTTCAATTTGTTTTTCTTTAACTGATTTAAGTTGTACTCTAAAGCTGGACTTCTGTAAATAAAAACAAGGTTTATCTTAATTGCTTTTGATGTGTGTATGTTTTTAATTGTGAATGGGAGACTACACACATATACATATATGCACTCACATACATTACATATGTGTGTGCATACACACATATACTCACCCACCCATACATACATATATGTAGATATATGAATTACTGCAGCTGCTATAGCCACCCCCTTCCCATTGCAGTTCCATTTCACCCTGCCTTGTGGAAGTGTCTGAACCCAAGGACAGCTCCTGACAGTCAGTCCAAAAGCATTTATTAAGTGCCTGCTATGTTCTAGGCTCCCTGCTATACACTGGGGATACAAAAGTAGACTAAAATTACCAAAACAAAACAAACCCAAAACTCTCAAGGAATTCACAGCCTGATGGGGGAGGCAACTTGCAATCAGCTATGTACAAAAAAGATATAGACAAGATAAAATTAGTGAGAACCTCAGAAGACCCCCTTTAAGGGGGATCAAGGGAGACTTCTTGTGTAGGGTGAGATTTTAGCCAAGACCTGAAGAAAGGCAGCCAGGGTATCAGGAGGCAGAGATGAGGCAGCAATGTGGCAGGAGAGAATTCTCGCCAAGGGAGAAAACCAGTGAAGATGCTCAGATAGGTAATGGAGTATTATATTAGCAGAACAGCAAGAAGACAGTCTCATTGAATTACAAAGTACATATAACACATGCTGAAGGTAGGACCCTTGGCAACCCAATTAACCTGTCAGTAACTCCCAGACAATTCTCTCAAGCTAGATGCTGCATGGAGAAGATGCCATCTGTACTGGTAAAGAGAAGTCCCTCACTGGGGAATTCCCTATACCAAGGTTATCATGGCTCCAACTCGAAAAACTAAAACCAACATAGCAAAATTGAATAAAAAGATCCAAAAATTCTTCAATAATAGCTAACATTTAATAAAAACATTTATATGGCACCTACTATGTGTCAGGGCACTAGACTAAGCGCTTTACCAATATTATCTCATTCAATTCTCACAACAACCCTGGGAGGGAGTGGCTATTATTATCTCCATTTTTATTGATGAGAGAACTAAGATACTCAGAAGTTAAGTGACTTACCCAGGGTCACCCAGCTAGTTAAATATCTGAGGCTGGATTTGAACTCATGTCTTGCTGACTCAAGTCCCATCCCTGACTCAAGTCTATCCACTGTGCCACCTAGCTAAAAAGTCCTTTCCAATTGGGAGAGATCAGGAAAAGTTTCTTGGGGAGGGGCTGTGTGTGTGACATTATTTAAGCTGGATGTTGAAGGATGCTTCAGTTTTCAAAAGGTAAATATGTGGACTGGGGTGAAGGGAGAGGAGGCCAAAAGAAAGCCATGTAACTTCAATATTCCCCAGAGTGTTGAGCTTAGGGCTCCAGGCACATAGTAGGTGTTGAGCAGAATCACTCTCAAAATTGGAGGGGAGCTGAGAGGTCATTTATTATACAACATATACCTAAATAGCAATTCCCTCTTCAATAAAAATCACACACACACACCCCATGTTGTACAGTGGAAACATCACAGCCTTTTAAAGTTTGAACTCCTGAATCCAAATCCTAGCTCTCCCCCTTCATTACAGCCTGTATGACCTTGGGCCAAGTCTTTTACTGTCTGGGTCTAAGTTGCCTCATCTGCAAAATGAGGAGATCGGCCTGAAATGTCCCTTCCAGCTATCAGTCTGCAATCAAGGACCCAGAGTATTTTGCAAAGAGGGATCAGCACGATGGGGTCTTGAATACTAAACAAAGGGGCCTAGCCTTTATTCAGTAAGCAGCAGGTGGCAGATAGAAGCAGCTAGGTGGTGCATTAGGTAGAGAACTAAACCTGGGGCCAGGAAGACTCAGGTTCAAATCTAGTCTCAGATGCTTCCTAGTTGTGTGGTCTCGGACAAGTCTCAGTTTCCTCATCTCTAAAAGGAAGACAGTAAGAGTCCCTAGCTCCCAGTATTGTTGGGAAGACCAAATGAAATGATATTTGTAACGACACTGAACACGGGGTCCTGGCACACAGTAAGCACTATAAAAACGCTGGGCAGTTAGGTGTTGCATCAAGGCCTGGAGTCAGGAGGACCCAAGTTCAAATATGGCCTGAGACATTTACTAGATGTGTGACCCTGAGCAAGTCACTTAACTCTGTTTGCCTTGGTTTCCTCATCTGTAAAATGAGCTGGAGATGGAAACGGCCAACCACTCCAGTATCTTTGCCAAAAAAACCCCAAATGGGGTCATGAAGAGTCAGACATGATTGAAACGACTCAACAACAATGACATATAAATGTTTTTCCCATTAGTAAGAAGGAGTCGATGAAGCTCTTGAGCAGGGGAGTGAGGTGAGGAGATCAACACACGAGGAACTATAGACTAGTAATCCTGATGACAACAAAGAGAATAATCCTGGCATTAAGACAGCGGGTGAGGTGTGCGTAGCCTTTTACACAAATGATCTCATTTCACCCTCCCACAGCACAAGGAGGCAGGTGCTGTCATCATTCCCATTTTAGATGAGGACACTGAGGCGGAGAGAAGTCATAGGGGTTGCCCAGGGTCTCCGCTAGATGTAAAGCAACATGAAGACCTGGAAAAGGGAGAACAGGGGAAGGGGATGTCCCATAAGGAGGCCATGGCCACAGGCCAGACAGCTGCTCATCTGTACGTCCTATGCCAGGGCAGTGACAGGAGGCATGGAGGAAGAGGGAAATCGGAAACATGGTGCAGAGATGGCGTCTACAAAGAAGAAACTGTTAGACATAAGAGAGAGGAGATCTCCAGGTCAAAGATTCTAGCAGGGGTGGGGAACCTGCGGCCTTTTGAGTCCCTGACTCCAAGTTTTATGAACAAATCCTTTTATTAAGGGTTTCGTTCTATGAAGTTTGGATTCAGTCAAAGGGCCACACTTGAGGACCTAGAGGGTCACACATGGCCTCTAGGCTGCAGGTTCCCCCACCCCTGTTAGGTGATTCGAGAACAGCAATCACTTTAACCACCATCTAGTGAGGACATACTGTGTGTGTGTGTGTGTGTGTGTGTGTGTGTGTGTGTGTGTGTCCCTATGTTTCGCAAAATTCTACCAAACAGACATAGGGAACCCACCTAAAGAACAGAGCTCAATACTGGACATCCGTCATCATCTGAGACTACTCCATCTGGAGATGGAAGGCACAGGAAGCCAGACCACTATAGGATGTTTGAAGCTCCCAATCTGCCACTCCTTCAACTCAGCATCCTACCCTGTGCCCAGACCAATACAGGAATGATGGGCGCATGCTGAAGGATCTCCAGAACTCCAAAGCTTTGAGGGACCTCAGAGAACATCCAGTCAGACGCTGCTCTTATTTTCCAGAGGAAGAAATCAAGGCCCATAGAGGAAAAAAAAAGTGACTCGCTTAAGGGAACAGAGTGAGTGGCAGAGCCAGAACAGCTCAAAGCCCAGGCCTGTGGCATCTCCCAACTTCTCCTGGTATGCCCCAGAGCACTCTGGAGAAAGGATGCTGTAGCAAGACTAAGGACATCGCCAACATCAAAGAGGGGAAACTCACTCATCAAAGGTGGAGTAGTCGTTCTTCGCTTCCAGCCACATGTACAGAAACATGAATGACAAGCATAATGTCGCAAGCAGGAAGGGGAAAAATATCTGATCTCCCTGGGAAAGAAAAGAAAATTAGCCTGGCTTATCTCTGATTCAAGCAGCCCTAAAGAAATCTTAGCATATCCTTTTCAGAGAGGCAAATGAATTTTCTGCACAGGTGCAATGGTATAAATAAATGCCAAACAGGAGGTAATCCCATGATCTATTTCTGTGTGTGTGTGTGTGAGGGAGGGAGGGGCAGATGAGCTATAGACTTCCTTTTTTAATGTTCGGCTCAGACTATTATTAAATTGGGTTTGTGTTCACAAAATGATAGAAGTTCAGAGTTGCAAGGGTCCTCAAAACAGAAAATTAGTGAAGAAACCATGGAATTCAGCTCAAGAAACGCCCTTAAACATAGATCTGAAAGGCATGTGAGCAAATCATCTAGTTTTACAGATCACAAGATCACAGATTGAGAGCTAGAAGGGGTCTCAGGGGTCATTGAGTCTAACCACTCATTTTACAAATGAGTAAACTGAGGCCCAGAAAAGCAAGGCGATTTTTTTTCCAAAGGTCCCATACTAGTAAGTGATAGATCTGGTACTTGAACTTAGGTCCTCAATTTCAGGTCCTCCAAATCTAGCTTTCTTTCAACCATCCCTCACTAACTCCCTTTGTGTACTACCACCCCCCTTAACCCTAAATGAACCAGCTGAAGCTCAAGAATGTTAGGTGGCTGTGGAATCCACATAGCTAATAAATACTAGGCCTAGGACTAGAATCCAGGTGTTCGGACCCCACAAGCCTAGTGCTCTCTCCAATGTCTCTTAAAATATTTCCTAATGTTACTCAGTCCCTTGAAAGGAAGGGAACCAAGGGGCAGCTAGGTGTTGCAGTGGATAGAGTACTGGCCCTGGATTCAGGAGGACCTGAGTTCAAATCCGACCTCAGACACATAATGCTTACTAGCTGTGTGACCCTGGGCAAGTCACTTAACCCCATTGCCTAAAATAAAACAAAAAAAAAGGAAGGGAACTGGCATTTATTAGGTGCCTACTGTGTGTCAGGCACTGAGCTAAGCAATTTACAAGTATCTCATTTGATCATTGCGACCACCCTGGGAAGTTAGTGTTATTATTTATCCCTATTTTCCAGTTGAAGAAACTGAGGGAGACAGAAGCAAATTGCCCAGGGTCACACAGCTGGTAAGTATCTGAGGACGGATTTGAAGTCTGGTCTTCTGACTCTAGGCTTGATACTCTAGCAACTGAGACAAACAGCTGTCTCTAGGATTTCTGGTTGGGAAAGGGGGAGAGTGTCAGGAATAGGTTCCATTTTGAAGCAGAGTTTTGGGGGAAAGATAATCAATTTCCTTAAAAGGAAAAGAAAACACATTCATACGCCCAAAAGCAGACCCAGGGGCAGCTAGGTGGCGCAGTGGATAGAGCACTGGCCCTGAAGTCAGGAGGACCTGAGTTCAAATTCCACCTCAGACTAAATACTTGACAGTTACCAGCTGTGTGACCCTGGGCAAGTCACTTAATCCCAATTGCCTAAAATAACTGTTTAAAAAAATAAATTAAATTAAAAATCAAAGAGCAGACCCAAATGATTCAATGAGGAGCAAGTGTTATGTCAGGAGCCTGCTAATGGAACTCTTTCATAATGCAGATTAGGAGGCAAGACTACAGTGTGCTACCTTGGGGGGGAAAGCACTGGACCAGGAAATGGAGAATCATCTAATTCAGAAGAGTTAGAAGGAGTCTCAAAGGTTCCCAGCCTTCTCATCATTATCCTAAGGGTCTTCCTTTAAACACACTCCCATCCAAGGCTTTCTAACCTAGGATTTGTGAACTTGCTTTTTAAAAATATATATATTCTAACAGGTCTTTTACAATATAATTGGTTTTCTTTGTAATCTGGCATCTTTTATTTTGTGCATCTAAAAACATGATGCTGAAAAGGGGCCCATAGGCTTCACCAGATTGACCACCACAGGGGCCCGTGGCAGAAAAATAAGTAAGAACCCATGCTTTAGGCTCAATGTCCTTCCTAAAACATGATACTCAGAACAAAAAACCATACCCCAACATGTGGTCTGGCCAGGACCCAGAGTGACCTGGGTTCCTTAGAACAGGCTCTGCCACTGATTCTGGTTGAGGGAAGGGGATCCAACTTCCTACAGCCTCAATTTCCCAAGTTGTAGAATGGAGAATATGAATACCAACCCTGTTCACCTCACAAAAGTGTTGTAAAACAGTAGTCAATGACTATAGTAATCTACTATTTGATAAACCCAAAGACCCCAGCTTCTGGGATAAGAACTCACTTTGATAAAAAATGCTGGGAAAACTGGAAAACAGTATGACAGAAACTAGGCATAGATCAAAATCTTACACCATATACCAAAATAAAGTCAAAATGGATTCATGGTTTAGATATAAAGGCTGATACTGTAAGCAAACTGGGAGAGCAGGGAATAGTTTACCTATCAGATTTATGGAGAACAGAAGAATTCATGACCAAACAGGAGATAGAGAACATTAAGAAAAGCAAAATGGATAGCGTTGATTCCATTAAATTGAAAAGTTTTTGCACAAACAAAGCCAATGCAACCAAGATTAGAAGAAAAGCAGAAAATTGGGAAAGAATTTGTACAACCAGTCTCTCTGATAAGGGCCTCATTTCTAAAATATATAGAGAATTAAGTCAAATTTATAAGAATACAAGTCATTCCCCAACTGATAAATGGTCAAAGGATATGAACAGACAGTTCTCAGATGAAGAAATTAAAGCCATCTATAGTCATATGAAAAAATGCTCTAAATCACTATTGATTAGAGAAATGCAAATCAAAACAACTCTGAGGTACCACATCACACCTATCAGATTGGCCAACATGACAAAACAGGAAAATGATAAATATTGGAGAAGATGTGGGAAAATTGGAACACTAATGCATTGTTGGTGGAGTTGTGAAATGATCCAACCATCTTGGAAAGCAATTTGGAACTATGCCCAAAGGGCTATAAAAATGTGCATACCCTCTGACCCAGCAACAGCACTTCTAGGGCTATATCCCAATGAGATCATGCAAACGGGAAAAGGACCCACATGTACAAAAATATTCATAGCAGCTGTTTTTGTGGTGGCCAAGAACTGGAAATTGAGAGGATGCCCATCAATTGGGGAATGGCTGAGCAAGTTGTGGTATATGAATGTAATGGAATACTATTGTGCCATAAGAAATGATGAACAGGCTGACTTCAGAAAAACCTGGAAAGACTTGTACAGTCCGATATTGAATGAATGACAATTATCTTTTCCTAAGGATGTTAAAATAGGTTCCCCTCGAATTGGGAGAGGCACTTTTGGTCAAGTCAAGTTGAGCAATAGTTCTTATGCATCTATTACACACCATGAACTGCGCTAAGTGTTGGGGATAAATAGGAAGGTAAGAAATAGTCCCTTCCTTAGCTCATTCCATTTCGGGATAACTGTTACAAAGTTCTCTCTTATGTTATGAAAGCTTCACCCTGTAATTCATTCTCTCTCTCTCTCTCTCTCTCTCTCTCTCTCTCTCTCTCTCTCTCTCTCTCTCTCACACACACACACACACACACACATCACCTTCAAGCATGGCATAGGGTAAGGATTCATAACCTAGGGTCCTTGGATAGCTTTCCAGGGGTCCACGATCTTGGATAGGAAAAATAAGTCTTTATTTTCACTAATTTCTAACTGAAATTTACTATTTCCTTCCATCATAAACAGAGGCAGCAAAAATTCTAAGAAGGTCCATAACACAAAAAAGGTTAGGATTGGTGCCTGGTGTAGGGTACAGGGAGCTAGACTTAAAGTCAGACTTGACTGTGTCCAAGGCCCACTTCAGACACCTGTGTGATGCTGTGTGATGCTAGGCACAATACCCTCTCAAAGCCTTATCTTCTTCATCTGTAAAGTAAAGGTGGTGGCCTCTTGAGTCTCTTCTAGCTCTCAACCTATGAGATTATGATCCTAGGTCTGAACTCTCTGCCACAACACAGATACTTGAGGAAAAACCAGTGATGTACCCTACTTCCAAGTCTTCTATTGCCCAAGCTAATCATTTATAATTCATCCAACTGGTACTCATATTGCACAGTCCCTGATCCCCTACTGTGCCTGTCAATATCCTTCTTAAAATATATCACCAAGCTGAACACTGCTACACATGTAATCTCAGCAGAAAACAGGGAAATCTCCCTCATTCTGGCCATTAGATTTCTTTGTCTGCCTTTCTCTAAGCCTTAGTTTTCTTGCCTATAAAATGGGCTACCCTATTGTGAAGCTCCAATGAGATGATGTTGTATGTGATGTGTTTTGTTAACTATAAAACACAACATAAATGTGAACTAGTTCTATGCCTGATCAGCACCTCTCATTTTCACAGAATATTGGAATTAGAAAGGACCTCAGGTATCATCCAATCCAACTTGTAGCAAGGAAACTTTCTGGATCTGAAGACTGGGGATCTTAGGCAGCATGCCAAAAATTTCTTTTACTGGCATTTGATGACAGGTGGCTTATGTTGTTCTCCAAACATTCCACGTCTGGGCATCCAGTCTCCCCATCCAGAGAGCAAATGTTACTTAGATTGCTTAGATTCCTCAACTGCAGAATAGGGACTTTGATTAGATAATCTCTAAAGCCTCTTTCAGTTGGGATATTCTGTGAGTGTATACAGTCCAACTCTTCAACATCATCTTTTCATTCTTACAGGCTGCATGGCAATACTGACTGACCCTTCCCTCTTTCGGGAAGCTCCAGTCCTCAGGGCTGGAGACAGGGGGAAAAGGAACTCTGTCTTTTCACTGCTTTTCACCTTGTGACTGTAGTAAAAGGATGAAGGAGAGGTAATGCAAAAGACCAGAAGGGGAATGGAGAGGGAAGAGGAAGAGGCAGCTAAGTGGTGCAATGGATGGAGAGCTAGGTCTGGAGTCAGGAAGACTGAAGTTCAAATCTAAACTCAGTCACTTCCTAGATATGTGATGCTAGACAAGTCATTCAACCTGTTTGCCTCAGTTGCCTCATCTGTAAATTGAGGATAATTTGAGCACCTACCTCCCAAGGTTGTTGGGAGGATCAAATGAGATCAATAGTTAAAAAGCTTTTAGCACAGTACCTGGTATGTCATAGGTAATTCATAAATACTTCCTTCCAAGAAGAAAGAGGAGATAGAAAGAAAAAAGAAAGAAGACCAAACATAAAGAGGGCAATAAGAGATGTCCTTCAGAAAGGATATTAATGAGCTAAAAAACCAGAATGATGAAAATCCCTGAATTCATCTCTAGGAGGATTAGTTGGAAGAACTAGGATGTTTATTCTGGAGAAGAGAAGGAGTAACAGGACATGATAGAAGTCTTCACAGATCTGAAAGCTGTCATATACAACAACTTAACTTATTCTGGTTGCCCTTAGGAAGTGTAAGCATGCAAATTAAGGTTTGACCTAAAGAAAAATTTCCTAACAATTAGGCCTAACCAGAAAGTAAGAGGAGATGCCTTAGGATGTTGTAGACCTCCTTAGAGGTCTCTGGGCTCAGGCTGGATGTCCATTTGCCAGAGACATGATGGTGGAGAGTGTTTCTTTGAGTAAGGGATAGGATTAAATGATGGCTGAGGTCCCTGCCAACTATGAAGTCCTGTGATCCATGGTGAGACAGATGTTTTATGTTCATCCTTGCTCAGGAGTGGCAGGTGAGGATTTCAGGCTCCAAATACCCCATTTTTTATCCTTTTGATCACCACCGCCCCCCAAAGCTGCCCCCAGGAGGAATGGGGGGTGGGAGGCCCTTGAACTTGAGGAGAGGTGCTTCCTCCACCAGCCCTTACCAGCAAACAGCAAGTAGTACCATTCTCTAGCTCAAACCACTGGTAGCGTTTCCAGCGACAGCTATATATGCCCTGCAGGAGAGTGATGAAGGGACGTCGGTCATATCGCTGGGTTATCCTCCGCCTCATCTTCTTTATTCTACTCAAGTTCAGTATACTAGGATCAAAAAAATTGCCCTGCAGAGGCAGCGAAAACATCCGTGTCCCTGGAAGGACCAAGGTGAGAGGGTCAAGGTCTGGGATTCTGGCCAAACTGGTTCCTACCCTGGTTCCAACTCCCATAACCCAACAGGAAGCCACCCTCCCACAAGGCAGGACCTTGGACTAGGAACCCAAGAACGGGATTCTACTCCAATACAAACTTGCTGTGTGGCCATCCCCCAATTGGGCTCAATTATCTTCCATGAAACTGATCAGGAATAGTGACACATGCCTTTATTCCTTGCTACTGGGTAGGCTGAGGCTGGTGGATCAACTGAGTTCTAGGGATAAGGGCTAAGTCAATTAGATAGCCATACCAGGTTGTGCACCAACAATAGGGAGTCACCATGCTGCCTAAGGAAGAGCAAAGGCCCATCACCAATGAGACTGGGCCTATGAATGGCTGCTGTATTTCAAGGCCTAGAAGAAATGGGCAGATCCAGTCTCAAAAAAATTTTTTCTTCTAACTAAAATAACGATACCCTACGTACTTTATGTAGTTGTAAAGATTCAATGAGATAATAGATGAGAAAACGCTTTGAAAAATTAAAACTGGCATCCAACAACAGAGATAGGGACTAGATTTGTGGTTTAATTAGTATCAGGAAATCCCTGGTGAGGAAACATCCTCAACAAATGGAGGTCAGCATCTTCTCTGCCCCTTCTAGCTACAGAGGCTTGCCTGGGACACCATGAGGTAAGCAGCTTGCCCAACCAAGGTTACATAGTCAGTGCAGGTCTTCTTGACTCCCAGGCCAGCTATCTACCCACTCCCACTACCCCACAGTACTATCAGCAACAGCAAAAGTAGTAACAGTGATAATAATCTAGGACCCTTTCTACCATATGACACTGTCCCTCTACCTCTTAAGATATGCTTTTTTTTTTAAATGGACCTTTTGGGGCACCTCCCTCTCCCCTAAAACATCATCCATTGAATGCTGTTTATTGTATGTTTTGCCACCTTGGTAAACAACCATCCAAATAAACACAGCTTGATTATAAACTGGGGATGGTGTCACCTGCAGTTATCTGTATGTGTGTGAGTGATGTTTCTTGTGTGTCCATCTTTCTTACACATACATATCTGCAAAAGCCTTTAAAGTTAGACAGTTGTTTTTTTTTTTATTCTTCTGGGGATGCTCCAGTCCTGAACAGAGGGCATTCACTGTGCATAATAAACAATAGACTAGGAAATGTTCATTTATTGAACAAATGGATGACAGGTGGGCTAGGTGATCTCTAAATGGGGCTAACTTTCTTTCTTGGGTCCCCCGTTACCTGGGAGAACTGTAATCCTGCTTTTCTTGTGAGTATGGCAACTCATTATTTCCAATCCTAGTAGAGTCACCTGATTTTTTTAAAACAAGAGGAAAGGGGGAAGGGTAAAAAACAATCAGGAAATAATAATGATGATGACTATTATGATAATGTTATGACAATGATGTGATAATGATATATAATATTACATGATATACTATAAGAGGATGATAATAGCATTTATATAACACTTGTAATTCATTATTCTCATTTTCCAGATGAGGAAAACAAAGCTTAGGAAAGTAAAGTAACTTGTCCAGACAGTGCCAGAGCCTAAGTCGTCCAAACTCCAAGCCCAGGACCCTATGTAAACCAAAGGAATCCTTGACCTAGAAGAAACACTTTGATAAAGGAGGGAATGTATCAATTACTTTGCTGTTATCATTTTTATTCATGTTAGTTCATAATGACTGGAAAGGTAAAGAGATATGCATGAGGTTACACAAGTGGTAAATCATAAGCAGGACTAGAACCAAACTCGTCTGACCATGAATTCCATGATCTTTCCATTGATCCTTTGAAACAGTATGTATTTCTTTTTCTGAAAGGACCACCATGCAAATATTTGTAGTCAACATTCAACAAACATGCTGCAGAGGCTAAGGAGACACAGAGAAATTCTATGAAATAATAAATATGCACTTGGAAATGAAATCCACATATTTATACTCAATGACTTTGATGAAAGGAGGGCATTGGGGAAAACAGAAAGAAAAACGGAAAATGGTTTAGAAACAAGAAATGAAAGAGGTCAAAAGCTGGTAAATCAACCAATAAACCCCAAACCTATAGATATCAAAACTTTCTTTAATTTTTTTTCAGTTAACAAGTATTTATTTTCTCTTTGCAAAGGAAAAAAAAAGCCACATAAAACTCTTAGAAGAAATGCACATGGTCAATCAAAACAAAATATTTCATTCTGAATCTCAAGTTCATTACCTCATACGAACCCTTTCTTCAAGAAGAGAGTAAGTCATAGGTGCTAAACAAGGAAAGTACCAAATTAGGTCACAATGAAATGGATTATGGACTAAATAAAACAACAAATGATAGCTTGCCAATGTGGAAAACCTTTCTGAATCACTTTCTGTTTTACAGTATGACCACCAAATTGTCAGGACGAAAATCAAAACCAAATTGCTACCAGATGCAAAGAGATGGCACACATTCGAGGAAATTCCAAATGGACTTATATAAACAAGGTGATGACACCAACAAAAAAAAAAAAAGGAAGGGGGTGAAAGAACAGATTTCCGCACCATCACCATTAACTAAGGAAGGAGAATATATTTTAATTAATCTTCAGAAAGTCACTTAAAGATTTTAGAAATCACCTAAACCAGAAAACTTTAATTTCTTAGTTATGGCAGCCAAAGGCATAATGGATTTTGAATATAAATCTGTGTGTACAATTTTACAGAAGATTCTTACAGATGGAGGAAGATTATGAGCATCATGACCTCATAAAACAGCAAGGAGAGGTAGAAGGAAGACAAGTTTTTAAAAAGCTTGACTTGAGATCTAATTAAGCCAAATCATTCCAAGAACATTTAGGATGAAACTAGAAGAACGGTAACAATAAAAAAGTTAAAGATTCGTCACCATTTTTTTTTAGAGAAAATGTTTTTAATAGAATTTTTCCAATTACATATAAAGATAATTTTTAGATTTCATTTTTACAAGACTTTGAGTTGCAAATTTTTCTCCCTTCTTCCATTCCCTCCCCTCTTCCTAAAATGGTCACAGTTTCTTTAACAAACTCTTTTTACCACTAATAACAATGTAAGCCACCATATTTGCAGTATAATATCACAGACTATTATTACAGTATAATAACATATTAGAGTATAATATCCCTGACATGCTATATGACGAAATATAAAAGATACTTATATAAATGGGAAGGCTATCTAGAACAGACAAGCATGTACACAGACACAAGCCGTGCTAGAGGCACTACAATTTTAAGGGCATTAAGGGATCAAAGTTACCTCATCTATATCTTGTTTGTACTGTTGTTTACATGTTGTTCCCCTACTCCTACACATACACATTGGACTGCGAGTTCCCTGAGATTAGGAATTGTCTTTTGCTTTTCTTTGTAAACCTGGTTCTTAGCACAGTATCTGGCACATAGAAGGTGCTTATTAAATTCTTACTGACCGACTGAGGAGAATACTCAGCTCTCAGAGAAAAAAAAAATCATGGACCAGTTCCTGAAAAACGGTGATCACAAGTGTATCAATAATTATAGATCCTTATGCCTGTTTTCCAACCTCTAGAAAATCTTTACGAACATGAGATAGGTAGATAGATAGATATAGATAGATAGATAGATAGATAGATAGACAGACAGACAGACAGACAGACAGACAGATAGATAGATAGATAGATAGATAGATAGATGCTAGAAAGACAGAGAGAGGTAAACAGATAGAGATAGATAAGCAGATATAGATAAACAGATATAGACAGATAAGATAGACGGATGGATGATAGAGATAAACAGAGATAGATAAGATAGATAGATAACAAGGGAATCCTTGATGAAAATGGGAGAACAAGCAAGCTTCCCCATACAATATTATACAGCAGATGACATCTCTACAATCACACTGACTGAAAAGTACAGTGAATAAAGGATGCCTCTGGTTAGAATATAAATTCCTTTACGGCAGGAATTGTTTCATGTTCTTGTCTTTGCATTCCCAGCTGCTAAGACAGTGTCTTACACGTAAAATGTGCTAATAAATAGTTGATGAATTGAATGCAATTTGTTAGCTTTTATTAACAAATGGAATTCAGTGAAGCAAAATGCCACCTTAAAAGATTTTCTCCTCCAACAGAGTGTTTCCCCTATATATGTTAAAAACACAAGATTTCTTTTTTTAATTGTTTAATATTTTATTTTTCTCCAATTACATGTAAAAATTTTTAACATTAATTTTTAAATTTTGAGTTCCAAATTACTTCCCTACATTCCTACCCTCACTCCTCACTGAGAAGGCAAGCAATTTGATATAGGTTATATATGTGCAGTCATGCAAAACATATTTCCATATTATACATGTTGTGAAAAAACTACAGGCTCCCCCCCCAAAAAAAATCAAACAAACAAGAAAAATAAAGTAAAAAAGAGTATGCTTCGATCTGCACTCAGACTCCATCAGTTCTTTCTCTGGAAATGGATAGCATTTTTCATCATAGGTCCTTCAGAATTGTCTTAGACCACTGTATTGGTAAGAATAGCTGTCATTCACAGGTGTTCATCATATTATATTGTTGTTACTATGCACAGTGTTCTGGTTCTATTCATTTCACTTTGCATCAGTTCATATAGGTCTTTCCAGGTTTTTCTGGAAGCATCCTGCTCATCATTTCTTGTAGTACAATAGTATTTCATCACAATCATGTGCCATAATTGTTCAGCCATTCCCCAATTGATGGGCATCCCCTCTATTTCCAATTCTTTGCCACCACTAAAAGAGCTGCTATGAATATTTATATATATATAGTTCCTTTTCCTTTTTGTTTTTTATCTCTTTGGGATACAGACCTAGTAATGGTATTACTGGGTCAAAGGGTAAGTTTGGTTTTATTGCCCTTTGGGCATACTTCCAAATTGCTCTCCAGAGTGGTTAAATCCATTTACAACTCCAATGACAATGCATTAGTGCCTCAATTTTTCCACATTTCCTCCAACATTTGTCATTTTCCTTTTCTGTCATCATATTAGCCGATCTAATAGGTGTGGAGTGTTACCTCAGAGTTGTTTTAATTTTCATTTCTCTAATCAACAGTGATTCAGAGCAGTTTTATATGACTATAGACAGCTTTTTCTATTACATATGGAAACTGCTTGTTCATATCCTTTGACCATTTATCAATTGCAAATGGCTCTTATTTTTATAAACTTGACTCTGTTCTCTATATATTATCAGAAAAACCTACTGTAAATTTTTTTCACAGTTATGATTACTGCATATTTTCCTCCATCTCATTTTCCCTCATTTATCCTACTCTCTCCTTTCAACCTGTCCACCCTCAAAAGTGTTTTGCTTCTGACTATGCCTCCCCTATCTGCCCCCATTCTATCAGTACTGCCCCCCTTCTCTTATCCCCTTCTCCTCCCATTTTTCTGTAGGATATTATAGACATCTATATGCAAGTAAGTGTGTATCTTATTCCCATTTTGAGCCACTTCTGATGAGACTGAGTTTCAAGTGCTTCCTCCCTAACTCCCCCACCTTCCCCTCCACTGTAAAAGCTCTTTTATACTTCTTTTATGTGAGATAATTTATGTCATCCAACCTCTCCCTTTCCCCTTCTCCCAGTGTATTACTTTCTCACCCCTTAATTTTATTTATTTAAATATCATTCCATCATATTCATTGCATATCCATTACCTCTGTTTATGCATACTCCTTTTAACTGCGCTGATAATGAGAAAGGTCTTAGGGGTCACAAGTATCTGTCTATGTGGGAATGAAAATAGTTTAACCTTATTGATTTCCTAATGATTTTTCTTTCCTGTTTATCTTTTTATGCTTCTCTTGAGTCTTGTGTCTGAATGTCAAATTTTCTATTCAGCTCTGGCTTTTCATCAAGAATGTTTGAAAGTCCTCTATTTCATTAAACATCCATTTTTCCCCTGAAAGATTATACTCAGGTTTGCTGGGAAAATTATTCTTGTTTTTAATCCTAGCTCCTTAGCCTTCCAGAATATCATATTCCAAGCGCTCTAATCCTTTAACATAGAAACTGCTAAATTATGTGTTATCCTGACAGCTCCACACAATATTTGAATTGTTTCTTTTTGACTGCTTGCAATGTTTTCTCCTTGATTTGGAAGCTCTGGAATTTGGCTAAATATTCCAGGGAGCTTCCATTTGGGGATCTCTTTCATAAAGTGATCAGTGGATTCCTTCCATTTCTATTTTACCCACTTGTTCTAGAGTATCAGGGCAGTTTTTCTTGATACATTCTTGCAAGATGATGTCTAGACTTTTTTTATCATGGCCTTCAGGTAGT